CTAACTATGGGAGGAAAGAATAAAGAAAATGAAATATCAAAAGTGAATGCTCATGGATGAAGTGAGAAGCTCTAGCTGTCCGCACATATGGTACTTTTTGGCATTCAAGTTGCTGATCACTTCTTAGAATTTTATAATTTTGCGCATTATAGTTATCTTTCCTGTTTTAACTTGTCTGCAGCCCAAAGTTCTTTGTTCCCAAATAAAAACATGTTTGTCATCCGTTGCTTTCAACGTTGACATATTTCCAACATTTAACATCCCTTGTCCATTATATTGTTTGAACTTTTCTTTAGTATGGTAAAAATGATGTAGCCTATGCTTTGCAATATAGGCGACTATTAAGCTTTAACTATTAGTATTTGTTGGTTACATTAACACCTCCAGTTTTTCTGATTGGCTTTTAGATTTCATAATATAAGGATCTTGATTGTTTCATTCTGTAAAATTTAGGTTAACAACAGAGACATATCAATTGCGGTTCTGAGGGCATTTATTGAAAAACGCAAGGAGGAGCATGTAGCAAGATTGTCCAAGAAAACAAAAACAGCACCAAAGGTGTCTGAGAAGGATGCTTCAAATTCTGTTGTAGAAGAAGTATCTAATGAGTCTGGTATTATTGATGAAAAAACGAATGGAGATTGTGAAGTGGCAGCAGAGATATCTCAAGAGGAACCATGCAGCATTTCAGAAGAACCGAACAAGGTCACAGAGGGAAAAGGACGAGTGGAACTGAAGCCACCAAGAGTTCTAGAGGTTTTTGCATGAATTTCAATTTTAATCAATTAATTAGTTCCTCTCATATTCAAAGTTTTGTTATTGAAGATGTAATCGACATTTCTCTTTTGTACCACTTGTGTTCACAGGCCTTGTCAGCTTCTGGTTTAAGAGCTCTTAGGTATGCTCGCGAAGTGGAAGGGATTGGTCAAGTTGTGGCTCTAGACAATGATAAAGGTAACGCCATTTTTGTGATAACCTTAAAAAGAATGAATCATTAATGAACATATGGACCCAAAGAAGTAGATAAGATTCTATTTCCTATGTAAATACATGGTGGCATATCTTAGATGTAGCTGCATATTTGCTTTTCTGATTAATCGTAAGCTTCATAACAGTAATCACTATTATTTTCCTTCCTGCAGTTTCTGTTGAAGCTTGTAGGAGAAACATCAAGTTCAATGGTTCAGTTGCATGTTCAAAGGTGGAATCACATCTTGCTGATGCTCGTGTGCATATGCTCACCCACCCAAAAGAATTTGATGTGGTATGCATATGTTGTTTCATATGTTTATGTTAATTCTCAAGGAATTTTCATTTAGAATAGTTTATCTGAATATGGTTAGCAAGTGCCATAATACCCATATGTTGAATAAAATAAAATAAGCAATAAAGCCTAGACTGGTTGGTTTCATCACGAGGAGGCTTCATAGTGATTATCCTTATTCCTTTTAAATTTATATTCTTGCCATAAACCACTAACATACTCTTTGTTTGTTATTGGTGTTCCAGGTTGATCTTGATCCTTATGGTTCTCCCTCTGTCTTCTTGGACTCAGCGGTTCAATCTGTTGTTGACGGAGGATTGCTAATGTGTACAGCAACTGATATGGCAGTGCTATGTGGTGGTAATGGGGAGGTTTGCTATTCAAAGTAAGTAGTCGTACCTTTCTGCTGATCTACTTTTGCTTGAACATGTTTTCTGATTCATTGACATATCTATCAAGAACTGTTTTGTGGTATTAGATACGGTTCCTATCCATTGAGAGGGAAATATTGCCACGAAATGGCTTTGAGGATCCTCCTAGCCTGCATTGAGGTATCATTATGTCTTTGATTATAGCCTTTACCTTGAACATGCAAACTATTTGAAGGTTGTTATTTAGCCAGAAGGGAAGTAGAATTGATATTGCAATTCTGTTGGTGATATAGTTTTTGGCACATGCCTTTTCTGAAGCAACTATTTACAATGATTATTTTGAGTTTCTCACTTCTTTGATTTATTCTGGGTTGTTCCATTTTTGTATAATGATGATGTAGATAACGATTAAATGTTTTCGATTAAGTTTAAATTGAAGTTTGATTGTTATCCCAACTCAGGGCAGGCAAATGACTATAAATATGAAGAGTACCCCATAGATCATGATTTATAGTTCGATTAATGTTACTTCTATGTATATATTTCATTCTGATGCATAGTTAATTTCCTCTTTATACAATGCAGAGTCATGCGAATCGTTACAAACGATACATTGTTCCTGTGCTATCTGTTCAGATGGACTTCTATGTTCGAGTTTTCGTCCGTATCTACTCGTATGTGGCCTATTTACTTTCAATTAGTTCAATGTCAGCTATTAGGCTAAATAACATTTCTTTCTTTTGTTGTTGACTGATAGTTCAAACAATTGGTTGCAGTTCTGCAAGTGCAATGAAGAACACTCCCCTTAAGCTCTCCTATGTTTATCAGTGCATTGGTTGCGATTCTTTTCATCTTCAGCCTATTGGAAGGACTGTCGCCAAGGTATGATGCTGATATAATATGCCTTCGGTGTTAGCATGTGCTTATGTATTGATGACAAAAATCATCTCAAGAATGTTGATTCTCTTGCTTTTCCCCAACTACGTGTACCGTCTAAATTATATTTGTAACAATGACCTTAAAAAGCTAAATGGAAAGTTATAAGGGTTGATGTTACAAACAACCTTTTAGGACAGTTACCTTCATTCATAGGGCATTGATCTGTCATAGTTCTTATCCTACTTATTAGCAAGCTTTGTGCAACTGTACAATATCTTCATATACATGTATCTGTGAGTATGTGTTTTGAATACGTTTCACCCCTCTGATTTATTACAAAGAGTTGTGTGCGTGTTGAAGGCTTGTGGTTTTATATTAATGGAATTTTATTTTAGAGTCTATTTCAATAGTTTTCTGATAAGGCATCCCTTTGCTTTTTCAGAACAGCAGTGTAAGATATCTACCGGGTTTTGGTCCTGTTGTTCCTCAAGAATGCAATGATTGTGGGAAGAAATTCAATATGGGTGGGCCCATATGGTCTGCTCCTATCCATGATCAAGAGTGGGTAACTTCCATACTATCAGATGTGAAATCTATGAAGGAGCGGTATCCTGCTTATGATCGCATCTCTGCTGTACTAACAACAATCTCAGAGGTGTGCCTTTTGTTTGTTATTTATACTTTTAGATATAAATTAGATGTGCTATTGTGTTTAAGCATGGCTAACTTATGTTTTGGGCAAAAATATAGATGTGCATTTGTATAATATTTATGTCTTATGCAGTTTTAGTAATCTGAGTATATTGTTTGCAGGAGTTGCCTGATGTTCCTTTGTTCTTGAGTCTGCACAATCTCTGTGCCACACTGAAGTGCACTTCCCCATCTGCAGTGATTTTCCGTTCTGCTGTGATCAATGCAGGATATCGTATATCTGGAACTCATGTAAACCCCTTGGGGTTAAAATCAGATGCTCCCATGGATGTCATTTGGGACATAATGCGCTGTTGGGTGAGCAGTCTCTTTCTGTTCTCGCTTGTTTCTTTTGTCATGCATGTATATATATAGTTGACAATCCGTTATGGTCCCTTCTTCTTGATCCCTCTCTGCCCCACATTAGACAGTGTGGTTCTGTTGTTTATCCTGTCTCTACACTGTAGATTACTTGTTAACTGCATTAGACTTTCCATGAGGTTACTGCTGTTCACTAATTGGTTGTGGATCATATTATGCCTTGATTCTGTGTAGGTGAAGAATCACCCAGTGAAACCTCAGCCTCCAGATCAGTCAGGAACCGTGATACTTGCTAAGGAACCTGTTCTCCAAGTATGTTTCTCCCATTCTTGGATATGCTTTTGCATTCTTGACTGCAAATTCTCTTACTGACATGTATTTTTATTTTGGCAGGCCAATTTTGCTCGGGCCATTGCATCTCTAAGCAAGGCACAAACCAAGAAGATAGCACGCTTCCTTCCAAATCCGGAAAGGCACTGGGGCCCAAAGCTTAGGGCAGGTCGTCAAATCACCAGCAAACACATTTCTCTCTTGGGTCCAGACGCTGTCAATGGAGTTCTTAACCATGAAGAGGATGAGGAACATAATGCCAAGCGTCAAAAGATTGAAGATCATCCCACCCCAAATTGATGAAATGAACGTTTTAAGTATGTCAACCAAGTTGACCTAGAGCTCCATACAACCGTTACAAAGAAAACATACATAATCCTCCTTCCTCTTAATTTTTATTTGGAGACAGCAAGATGAGGGAGAGAGAGGCTTCTCACGAGCCAGTAATGAAGCCGCAGTAAAATTAACTGGAGCGGCAACTTTCTAGTGAATTAGAAGTCATTTTCAGCAATTTTGAGTTTGATTAGACCATATTTATTTGCATACTTCTGAGTTTGTAAGCAATTTTCTTGGATTATTATTTTTATTTTATTTATGCAAGAGGTCGTAGAGTAAGTTTTATTTTTTAATCTGAAATTAATTTTGTTATATACCCAGTGCCTGAAGGAAATGCAGAATTCGAATATGGAAGAAAGAGGAGCCCAGTAGAGATGCCAAACCATACACATTGGACACTAGAAAATATATATTGGGGGCATCAACCTCACCTAGGTTCTCATTTAACAAGATGAACGAAAAAAGATTTTGAAAGTCCCACCAAGATAGAAAAAGCTTGACGATTAACAACAAAAGTATTGAGATACAAAAATATGCCAAAACGATTCTGTTTCTGGCAATTATGTATGAGGCAAACATTTATCTTTGGATTAAAATACTAAATGAACTACATATTTTATTGCACTAAGCTCATTGGACAAAGTAAATAAATAAAATTACATCTGCCGAAATGCAAATCAAAGCGATGACCAAAATGGCTCAGGAGGATAAAAAAGATATAGTGACTAAACTAATGATAGCTCCAAGAAAGTACAGTAAATATAAGAGCAAATTGCAGTTGAATATTCAACTTTGTTTAAGTTCTTGTTTTACTTAGCCTTGCCGTTGGCCAGTTTGGCACCAGGTCCAGTCGGGTTAAGCTCATCCCAAGCTTCAATCCATGTGACCATGGCTTCGGCGAGCTTGTCGAAGTAGGGATCCACCTTGCTGAGCTTTTCCTTGACCTGCTTGGACAGTTCAACATAGCAAGCTTGAACAGTGGTGCAGTCTTTGGGAAGAACCGCAGCTTGGAAGAATGGGATGATCTCTTCCTGCCAGAAGATGCCTTTGTACTCCTTCCTCAGGTTCACAAATGGGTTGCTGGCTTTGCTGTGATAGATGTAAGGCAGGCCTGTCTTCACTCCCAGTCCCAAGTGGTCACATATCACCTATACATTCATTAACATACCGCATTATTGTTAATATACATTCACACGAAAGAAAGACAACTAGAATTACAAGTCATATTGGCATATGTTATGGAAGAAACAGAAAAAGAAAGGGGACCTTGATGCACCAGCCAGCCCACATATCGTCGTAGCGTCCAATTGGCTGACCATCACCCATGAGCCCGAAGTACATTGCAGGGCCAATGAGGTCACGGTCGAAACCCAAATTCATGCCACACATGGGGAACAAGGTGCCCTTTGGAATTGTCAGAACAGCATCCACAAACCTTGTGAAGAAGCACAAGCAGAGTGTTAAAATCCAATATTGCATAATGCGCAGCATACAATGTGAGACGCAAAGACTTAGGAAGTGTCTACCTGGTGTTCCTCTCAAGAGGCTTCACAAGCTGTGTAGGTGCATCATAATCTGGGATGTTTAGCCACAGACCATGAGAAACAGCAGTCGGGACACCCTCACGGAGACTGAAAGGGTATCCACGAACGAAATCAGCGCCATCCCTGTAAGGATCATACAGAGTGTTGAAGAAAAAGGGGGTGGATGGTGAAAGAAGGTTCTTGATGTGCTGCTCCAGTGCATTGACGGGTTTGCCAGCCGGGTCTTGTGCAACCTAAGCATACACATAAAAAAAACCATAAGCAGTTAAATTAGACACTAATAAACTACAATTAAGACTCCACCCTTTTTATAACATCAAATAATAAAATAAAATAGAAAAGAAAAGAGAAAATATGCCAAGCAGATGCATGCCCTGAGAGAGAAAAGGACAGAAGCAAGTTGCAGATAAAACAAACACCAAAACTATATCTTATCTCGCATACAGAAACAAACAAATCTGGTAATGTCATTCTTTCTTCTATTCCAATAGAGAAGTTAATACAAGCTAAATGTAGAAAACTTATAAAAAAAAGGCTGTGGCTTTGCATCCCTGGAATGGAATGGTACAATTGGTCTCAGTCAATCAAGTTTTATTTGGAATTGCAGACATTGTTCAATCCAAATATACACACTTATACTACTGAAAAACTATTAATCAGATTTGAGGTCTACATATGATCCAGTCTAGACATCAAACACACATATATACATTCAAACATTGCGACATTAGAGGCATTGAAATAAAAATAAAAGAGACAGAACGTACCAAATGAATGAAATCATCGAAATTTCACGAAAAACCATGAAACAGAAGATCAAATAACAACAAGATCTAGACTTTAAAAACCCAAAAAGAATAAATAAAAACAAAACAAAGCCAAGATGGGAAAAACAGAGGAAACAGCGGACTTACGAAGCAGTCATCGTCAATAGTGAAGATGTACTTCTTCTTGGAGACCATGTAGCCGAAGCAGCGGCAGGCAGAGTCCTTGAAGGAAATGCAGGACGACCTAGGACCCAGAATCCTGTTAATGTCGTTACGATTGTAGAGCTCATAGTCAAAGCCATCAGGAACCTTGATGGTCTTTGATGGGTCACCATCTTGGACGATGATGAGGTGGTAGGGCTGAAGGAATGGCCTCCACATCTCGAGGAAGTCGAGGTTTCTGATGGTGGGGATGACAATGTCAAGCTCATCTGTCAAAAGGTGAGTTGCAGAAGCCATTGCAGAAACAAAAGATTGAAGCTTTGAGAGAGATAGAGAAGGAGGGAGAGAGTGAGAGGGGTATGAAGGAAGAGAGGGAGTTTGTATAGGAATATAAATGGAGGAGGACGTGGTGGCACGTGAGGAGACGGAGAAAGCGGCACGAGTGTTGGGTTAGGAGGAGACGTGTCGGAGATTTAAAGGTGAAAGAGAATTGTTCAAACCAAAAGGCAGTCGATTGAGAGATTTGCAAAGACCAGAAGAATATATAATTTGATTGATTTTCTGAGGCTGTTCTTAGCAAAAAAAAACAGCTTCTAATTCCATCATGCATTATGAACCGTCCACGTGATTTGTGAGAGTTTGATGGTACATTCGTTTTGTCAGTGTCACACAGGTTTGTAATTGGTTGGCTAAATTAGCAGAAAAATCTGTGTGAAACGGGGAGCCAATAACAGGCGATCGATTACGTGACGCGTGACATGTCGTGATTAATTGGAAGAGCAAAGCAGTGCTATCAAGTGAACTTGCAGAGACGGTGGTAACTCTGGAGATTTGGGAGGAGCAAATTTATCTCACCACCATAAACCAAGTTACAATGATCAAGTTAGTTGTTAGTGAGAGTGGCACAGTGTTTTTCATACAAACAAAACCTCTTGAGGATCATCCAAATATTATGTCTTTATTAACTTCATAGTCCAAGGTATAGTAGCTAATGAAAAAAAACCAAAAGAACCCAAATTTTCTTTTAATTAAAAAACTTCTTTTAAAATTGGAACATGTGAATTTTGAGTACCCGACAATCTGAAAGGTAAACAAAAGAAAGAAACATGGGATAGGGAGAGAAAGGTGGAGGAGAGAAGGTGAAAAAGAAGAAGAAAAGCGTGTGGGTTCAGAAAGTTGAACGTGCACTGCCACTGAGCATAGGAGCCTGTGTTGTGTTTCTCTTTGCGTCAAATTAAATTACTCAGTGAAAGAGGGATTCTGGACTGGACTGCCTTAATTCCAGCTATTGATTTCGGAGCTTTAGGCATCACCTCACGTGCGCAGCACACTCTGCTCACACACATTGGGCTTCATCTTAAGCAACTCCTCCTCCTTTACGTTTCTTCAAAGTCAATAGAATTTATGATGACCCAAAAAACAAAACCCATAGCCCAGAATTACAACTTGGTGCGACATGGGCCATGAGACTATTATATTAGAGGGTGTGTTGAGAGGTTCCATTCAGTCATCTAATAATAGCTCTGTAATTGATCGGATGACTATTAAGGACTCCCTCATTACAGCATCCATGCGTATCTCAGGATGTTCATAAGAAACCCATCAGATCCACGATCCAAAACCCATTTCTACAAGTAAAAAATTTGCATTGCTTGTTCATCTATTGTAATTGCCAATTGCTTCTTGATTGCTAAGCCCCAAAGAGATTTTTAGAGTTTTGCATCTTATGGAGCCCATGAGTTGCAGAAGCTTACAGGGCAGAATGCCCTACAATTATGGTTAACCAACAATGCTCAATTTTTCATAGAAAAATGTGTAGAGTTCAGTTCAAAGTGGCCTCATATTAAACTGTAACTGCAAAAGTCTGTCTATAGTATAGGTTTTGAGTCTGCTAAACAGGGCCTAGGGAAATGCATATCATTTGTCAGTTTTAGAGTTTTCTTCTCTCTGCATTCCAGAACATAACATTAGCCGACAAAAGGAAATTGCTCAATTTCATTGATTCTCTAATGTGTTAGCACGTTATCATACATCATAAATATTTTCTTTCATATGCTCTCTCTCTCTCTCTCTCTCTCTCTCTCTCTCTCTCTCTATATATATATATATATTCTTTTCCATGTACATAATTCAGTTAGCAAGATGAGACACCCTAAGGTGCAGTCCATTTGGTGCCTCTACTCTTGGAAATTTCGTCAGTTTGTCTCCCCCAACTTCTTCCCACCTGCAAGCAACACAAATATATACCATCAAATCAAGTATTAGAATTTCATCTTAACTGAGAAAGTTTTATATAAATTTTAAAAAAATTGAAAATTCACGTGTTTTGATGTGGGTTTTTAGTCACCTGTATCTAGTTACAAAGTAGTGCAGGAAAGTTGAAATCTCTGCAATTCCAAGTTCCTTTCCTGGACACTGCCTTGTGCCCCCTCCAAATATAAGGCAGTAGTTGTGAGATTCCAAGCTCTTGTCCTGCATTTTTCATTCAGACCCAATTTAGTCACATTTTCTATGAAGAAATTACTAATCTTAATCTCACAGGAAAATAAATAAATAAATAAATAAAGAGTGTCACTAACCAGCCATCTCCATGGATTGAAGGTTAATGGATCAGGATACAGAAAGGAGTCATAATTAATCTCTCTGGTGTAAACATAAATTCTCCACCCCTTTGGAATCAGATAACCTGTTGAAGCATTGAAGAAAAAAGCTGTGGTTAGATAACCTTTGTTAATGATGAAGCTTAATTTTAAGCCCTGGTCCACCACTATCTTATCTAAATTTCCCCATGTCATTAAGAAAAAATCCTGATCGTCTAGCTGTGTTGGTATATTTGTTGTGAAAAATAATCATGGATGTGGACACATCACTCTTGCGAGTCATATCTATGCACTGTTTCACTCTCTTTTTTTGCCAATAATGTAAATATCATATGTGCCTTTAAAAAAATTCATGGCTCACCATTTAGCTCCATATCTTGAGTGGTTTTCCTCAGCACCCCATTGACAATGGTAGCTAATCTTGAGGTCTCAAATATCACCTGCAGAGGAAAGAAAGGAGAGCATATAAATATTAGCAAACCCTGCTGTTATAATAAGAAAAAAAGCAAATGATGCATCCAATTAAAGCTGCGAAATCTCTTACCGCACGAGTAAACCGCATGGATTTCAAGTCATTCCAGTCAATTGGATCCTCTGGCCTTTTCTTTTCTCTGATTGCCAAATGTTCTTTCTACAAATTATGCAGTTAAAGTCAGAACTGCAAGCATGAGAATGCAACACAACAACATGAACAAGAACAAGTTTTTTTGTTTTTGGTTTCAAGAATCATATACATCTTAAACTTACTCTGAGTTCTTCAAGCGCTTTGGGATGATCATGGAGGTACTTCACAGCCATCATTGAAGTAGTAGAAACGGTCTCATAACCCGAATATAAGATTGTGATTATGTGATCAATTATTTCTTCATCACTGAGTTTGTATCTGTTTTCATCACTCAGTAAGCAACCAAGCATGTCTTGATGGACTTCTTGGGAAGCCCTTCTCTCCTCTATGAGCTGTTCCAGCATGCATATGATGTTCTTCCTTCCCTGCATAAGTCATAACATGGTTCACAATCTCAAGTATTAGATCTTTCATAACTCTAATGAGAGATTAGATATGATAATGAGAAAATAAACTGGATTTATACCTGGAATCCACGGCGGTAATTTGTGCCAGGAAGGTCAATAGGCAATGAAAGGGTGCCTAAAACAAGCTTGAAGAACTCAGTCTTGAATGCTTCAGAAATTGAGCTTGACTCAATGCCTGCAATCTGCTTAAGTGATGAGAGAAGTGCCATCTGCATAAAACAGTTGAAGGAAAATTGATTAGAAAGGTGATAAATACTATTTTTTTTAAAAATGAATTTGGCTTTTATTTATTTATTTAAAAGGAATATTATTACACAAACCTCTTTGGTCTTTTCTTGAATGTTGATGACTTGGTTAGCCCAACCACTGAGGTGGGATCTCATGAAGTCATCAATTTTAGGCAAAATCTGGTCTCTGATCATGGTTGGGTTAATGAGGGCAAGCAATGAGCCTCTCATGTACTTGTGAGTGGAGCCATGAACTGCTGCAATGTTACATTTTCCCAATATATCCAACATGGACTGAGGATAGCCAGGAACAAGCCCTTTGGCTTCATTCATTAGGATGAATCTGTTGAGCTCTGGATCCATGGAAACAACTGTAGGGCACCCCAGTATGTGGGATTTGAAAAAACTACCATACCTGTTACCAGAAAATCATAATTATAAAAAACCCCTGGAGTGTTCAAAACAGAACAAAACAGAGGAACAACCACTAACATGTATGCCCCAAAAAAAAGCAAAACTTGTGTAGAAAATCACCTTGCTCTCTGGTTTTTCATGAAGTTAGGGCCTTGTTTGAGAAACTCAGTAGTCTCCCCAAAAACTGGCCAACCCATTGTGCCTGGAGGGAGGCCTTTCTTCCTGTACCTCACTTCATTCCATCTCAGCAAAGCAGAGCAGATACAGAGGACAAAGAGAACACAAAGTATCACCATGAACACAGCCATTGATGCTCCCTAGAAGCTGCAAAACCCCTAGACAGAGAGCATTCAATGGTATGGGCATGCTCTAGTTTATGAGAAAGCCAAAAGTGTGCATATATATAGGCCTCTCTCAAGTCTCAACCACCATATGCATTAGAGAAAAAGGCCAGATAAGCCACCATGCACCCTATACAAATTGAGGGACCCTAATCGATGAAACACTCAGAAAAATAATTAAATGACTAAATAAATTGTTCTTAGCTCTTTCCGAAGTTTTTAACTTAGACCCAACAAAGATTAACAGTGATTTGCTCAAAAGTGGGTAGCTACTGAGAAACATTTACTGCTATAATATTTTATTTTGGAGGGTACAGGGTTTCAAGAAATGAATTGGTTTTTTTTAATTTTGTATTTATTTCTTTGGTAGAAAACTAGAGAAGGCTCTAACTCTAAGTAGTAAAATTTGAATGCATATGTGACGAGGCACATGCACACCGCACTCTAGGGATAGAAAAGTGAATATCCTTCACATGCCCCTCAACAATATCTGTTAATGGAATTACAAAAACCAGAAGAAGACAGGAGCTTGGTTACCATGTGAATAAGTGGAGAGAGAGAGAGAGAGAGAGAGAGAGAGAGAGAGAGAGAGAGAGTATTTTGGTTTCATTCTAACTGCTAGTTTGAAACTTTGGGCTGTCCCTAGTAGCTTGAAGCTGTAGTAGACTGTAAATTCCTAGAATCCGCCCTACTATTGACTTTTTGACTGTTAATATGAAGACTTTCAAAGGAGAAATGAAGTTTCAAATGATGTCAGAAGACAACACAATAGAATCTTGCCTCATGAGTCATGTGTGAGTATGGTATAGCATATCCCTATTTTTCCCTTCTAACAATCTTCGCGTCTAAATTCACAATCTAACAATACAACAATATAAGTATTTGTGAAGCAACAGAAGTTTATAACCAGAGATTTGGTGTATTGTTTCAGTTTAATATTCGATTCAGAAAGAAGAAAAAAAATTTGCCATAAGCATTTAACATGCCACCACCGACCATTACTAACACTGTTGTCATTACAACGCATCACCGGCAAAAGACAATCTCCTTTTTCCTTATCTTTTGGTCGATCGATAACGATATACCAGTGTTCTATAAAAAGCTTTAATGGCAGCCAACATTAATATATCATCTTAGCAGGATCAAGTACTATAAATATGGTACATTGGTTGGTGTGAAGACGATTGTCTTTTGCTATTGAAGTTGGAATTTAAGACATTTAAAGTAGGAGCAAGATATGTATCTAATGTGTTCTTCTCACTAGGGAAGCCATGGTAGATAACTCGACCTAGCCTTGTTGTAATCTCTTCTTTTTTAAGTGAATGAAGATTCTTAACGAATGGATTTGGTTGATTTTCTATCCTGTTTGGGTTTGATTTCTTGTGCAAAATATTGACAAAAAGGAACAGTGAAGGGGCAATCAATGCTGCAAGTGTGTTACTAGGGTTTATCGCAAAGATCAGAACACACACCACACAAATATATCTTTGGGGCGGCTCCGTACAGTAGGTGTCGATGTTCATCGGTCTAATCAACATGTTATATGATTCTAATGAGACACAGGGTTCGTCCTGTAATTTCCGTTTATCTCTTCTTCTCTCATTTTGTTTTTTGACTTTGCTTTGAAGCTGATGGCTTGTCTTCAAGTGGCCACAAAAGGCGGATCGGATGGCGACTTGAAGAAAGGTGTGGATCCTTAAGGAGATCCTTGGAAAGGGATTTGACACAAAAGTTGCATTTACCATTTTACTAACTAATTTCTAAATTAGATAAGATAGTAAGGATAACGTTATCTGTGATGATCGTGCATTCTTACGCTCATAAAATTACGATATATTTTGTATTTTTTTTAAAAGTATATTTCGTACGTAAGTACATACGTGTTTTGGTTATATAAGATGATCTAAAAAGAAATCAGTATTTGATGAGGTATCGTTTTCTGATGTACTTGATCCATAAATAGAGAAGAAATTTCAAAATTTTGAAGGAGAATTTGTTCCATAGCATCCCTATTTGGAGTTTTCTAGTACACACGGATGTCTTGTTTAGCAGATGACAAATGGCATGTAGACACCCTTTAAATTTTCCAACTTGTTATCCAAACTCCAAGGAATTTTGCTAGAATTAACATGGCGTGATTTAGAGGAATTGCCGACATGGTATAGATTGATTAGAACAAGCTAAAATCCAGAAAAGGAAGAAGAAAGGGGGCCAAAGAAACTTGATTATCAAGAAAATAATAATAATACGAGAGGAAACTAAAGGAGAGAATAAGAGAAAGCGATATGTGAATGATAGGAGTAGGACTTATATGTGAATCAAAAAGAAGTTGCACGGAAATTCCAGATAGAATACATACGGTACTGGTAGGCTGCAAAAGGTTTTATATATTATGAAGAGAGAGAGAGAGAGGAGAGAGGGGGGCCATATGGGGGCCATTACAGAGGGCAGAAGAGAGAGATGGAAGAATGTCTACCCACACAGACGCACACATGCACTTCATGCAAAGTTCTTTGCTTTTTTTATTACATTAATATTAATGTTTGAATAATTTATGATATAAAGTTGTGATGTACATTGACGCATCCAGTTGCACGAGGGCCTCTATTTTGTTTTCTTCTACTTTTTTTCCATGCCAGAACAGCAGACATGGGCACACACAACCATTATTTCCTCTGAATGATTGATCTTCTCGCTCGCAGCCTGGAATCTCTACGCAAATTAACTTGTAAACCCTAGCTCTAATTCTGTCTTTAATTTGTTTTTATTTTATTTTAGCAAATTTCATGAACACATCAAAGTATTTAGCTTCACAAAAACAAAGATCAAATCATAAAAATATGCATGCGCAGACACTGAAATTGAAATTATTATTTTTAAAGAGGTAGAGATCATACCTTAAGACAATAGAATTAAGCTTCCTTCCACAGTCCAATTTTGACTTTGGTTTTGTGATTCGAACTGGCCAGATCCATATGATACAGGGAATAATGTATATACGCACACATGCACCAAAAGGAGAAATAAAAATCTACTGAATAAATAGCTAAGCCATTTTCTGCAGATTTGCTATTAATTGCAGATTTTTTGTTTGCATAACGCATGCATCTTTCAGATTTGTTGCTCTCAAGTGAATCATATTAACAAATTGGCCGATTTCATGCTTACTATATATTACAAATGTTAGTAGGTAGTGCGATTACATATAGTAAAATTTTGTGAGACCTTGTTCTTTATAGGAAGCTTCTTTAAACCCTACCGAGAAGTAAATATTTTCTTCCTTATCATGCAAGTATGAGTTTTTATATTCCTGCTAATAGCAGTATGCATGTACATAGAAGTTTTTCTTCTTGCATATATACTGTGAAACGGTGATTTACATATAAAGAAAGCGACAAACAGTATCCAATCAAGAAGCATTTTAATTTGTGTATTTGGATGAAATGATTTAAAAGAAAGTAAATGTGAAAAAAGAAGTTTGAAAAAGAAAAAGTGAAATTGTAAAGTCAAAATTACAAAGGACGGTTTAAAGTGTCAAGTGTCAACTACATATGCCAATGTGACTGGAAAGCGTCTTGAGACTCACAATCTCATTTCCCAACTCAAATATAAAAATAAAAAATAATTTGTGCAGCTGCAGAAGTACACGGGTCCTCAACAGACCAAAGGATACAGAAGAAAGAGAGAGAGAGAGAGTAAAATGATGTGTGTTTGTTTTGTAGTTCTTGACGTCTTTATCCAAAACCACAAAACAAAACCCATTCCCATTCCCATATGATGATTGTGTGCACGTGTGGTAGGTCTATCCACGTGCACCTGTTTTATTCGCTGAATCCTGAATTGATTGATTTGGTTCTTTGCTTGCTTCTCTTTCTCTCCCTCTCCCACCCTCCTCCTGCCTGCCTGCCCTCCTGAACTTCTGATATTTTTTTTCACCTCCCCCCCCTTTTCTTCTGTCTCTTTGCAAACTGTCACCTCGTTCACCCACCACATACCACATACTTCTCACTTCTTTTACCTCTTTACTGCTTTACTTCTGGGTTAATGCCAATAATTGTTTTTAACCGCATTTGTTACTCCGGAGAAGAGAACATAATAATATCATAATAAGATCATATGGTATAACTTATTCACGTATTATAAAATTGGTGAACAATATGATTGATATATCCCACTTTTAGAGTATTAGTATTAAAAATATATCCACTTGAAATATAACATGTTCATTAGTTATACCACGTGATCATATTATAGCATCGCACTAAGTTAGCGTTGATAAATATGTGAGGACTAGAAGAAGCCATAAGTTGCTCATTAATTGCAACAATTCTGTGAATTCTGTCGTCAGCAATAACAAATGTGTTTGGACAAGTCACGTATCTTTCTGTTTTTGGTACATGTATAAAGGGATTAGGGCTTGGTACATAGCTCCTGTTTGGCTATCTTAATTAGTTTGAATTTGCTTCATTTTTCAACGAGGGAAATCAGATGCCAACGTAATTAACTCCTTTAATATGTGCTATAGAGCATCTTCAAGGGAGATGTCAAATACCAAACATCAAAATTAAATTTGATGGTTGATGTGACAATTTGACATTTACACAGTTAATATTGTAACAGTCAAATCATTTAAGATAAAGAAGAAAAAAATAATAAATGAAAGTAAAAGCCAGTTGTCTTTAAAAACTAATAAAATATTTATTTGACATCTTGTTTTTGGGATGTTAAAAGTAACGGTTGAACCTTTAGCTTTCATTCCACATTGGCTTTGATAATTCGGTTGGAGTGAAGTGTGATATTATTTGTAGCCAACTGTTACTTTCATTTATTATTTTTCTTTTTTATTTTTTATTTTTTTTATCTTAAATGATTTAACTGTTACAATAATTATTTATTTAACATATCGGGTGGAATGTAAAACTGTGTAAATGTCAAATTACCACATCAAATACTATTAATATTCCTTTATGGTGAGTCAGTGATTAGGCGAAAAGCAAGCTACCCTATTGGGATCAAAACACGTGTCTTTCCCCTAGGAGCAAGATCACCTAACGAAACTTGATTATTTCTCATTCTACCCAACAAAGAGATTCAATCGTTCCTATGAATTTGGAACCCACCATTGTCTGGTGGATTCTATGTAATATACGTACATGACATGGGGTTCATTAAAAACTCACCAACCAACGGGTAATGCTATAGAGATGGGTACACAATGTAATATAAAATGCGATAAATCTAGCATTTTCTTTGACGAAAACAAACACTTGCCAAATCATACAGATAACTTCACATTGTTAAGAAAAAAAATCTAGTTTAATCAGATGCAATTATGGTTTAACGCATAATTAATCATGATATATAGTTAGTTTCTAGTTTCTAGATACTAGAAGGGACGACAATTGAAGTCCTTTGGGTTGCAGAGAAGAAGTCACGCGTGCTGATCTATGGCCATGGACGTACCTGCGCTGATATAAACTCGAGCTTCCTTTTCTACCCTATTTCAATAAACTTTCGGCTACTTGAATGCCCATAATAAAAGCCTAACTACTACATTGTTTCAGAAAAGAAAGAAAATAAATGTGTACTGCATGCAAACTCGTGCGTTCCTTTCTCTTTAATTTGTACGTGCATCGATCTCTGCTGCCCTAGACAGACAAATCTGTGAAGCTATAAAACTTAGATATCAAAGCTGCCAGCTCGATCTTTATTAAGAAATTAATATTGTTAATTAATGATGAAAACTGATGATCAAACAGAAGAATTAATGCATTATATGTGGTTTTGCAAGTTCCAACTTACATATCCAAGCAACAATTTGGAAAAAGATTCTGAGAAAACTTTAGGTAGCTAGGTTGGCTCCACAGCAGAAGGGTGTGCACCCCCACCCCATGTGTGAAAGGGGTCCCCCATAGCCAATTTGTTGTGAGTGATGCATAATTGCTTGTCTTTGCTGTTGTTTCTTTCATTCGACCTTTCCCTCCCACTTTGTCATTATATTTTAAATAAATTATTTATATATGTTGCATGTATATATATCTTATGTATGTCAATATATCTAGATATATAATTCTTCTCAATACTATCATAATCTCTAGAGAGAAAGAGTAGCTGAGTTCTTGCATTGAAGAAAAACTTGTGTGAAACGAGAACAGCGTTGAGCGTGCAAGCAAATACAAGTGGGTGAGTTGAGTTGAGAGGGCAGATTAGGTAAGCTTATTAGGGTTTATTATTTGTGGGAATGGGTGCCCAAAACCCACGTGATCGGGTGGCTGCTTATGTACAAGGAGGATGAAATTTGTGGCGTGGGGCTTTTCTCTTCCCCCACACAACACCAGAGGCAGACAGAAGGGGGCTGGGGCTGGGTTGTCTAGTGTTTGTGGTGTAGTTATATGCATTAACAAACAACAATGGAATTATGGAAACGAGATATACGCCCATTTGCATGTTACCCCCTCGTGGGTGTATCGTAATCGTCCTTGGTACCTTTGTGGAATAAATATATACATTACACACATTGACAAGTACCACACACTTAGCTCCTGTCCTAGTGAATGATCCATCCATATCATCCATCACCCCCAAACCAAACCCCCCTTTCCCTTACCCACATTGCCCAACCATCACTTCATTTCGTTACAAATTCTTTTAATTTCATTCACAAAAACGATCATCTAATAGTAATAGCATACAAACTTGTTTGTTCTTCGTTGTATTGTTAGGTACACATTGAATAGTATTGGATCTACACTGCCATGTTACGCAATGAGAAAAATAGTTAGGATTAAGATAAGTTACGGGTTCAATATGAAATGCTAATTAATCTCATATGGTTTGTGACTCTTTATTTTTAAAATCAAAAGAAAGAAGGAGAGAGAAAAAGAAGCTTAAGAAACACATATACATCAAACTGTGGGTAGTGTATTATTAATCATGATTCTATTTGATCAATTATATGTGTGTATATATACACACACACATATGCTTTGGGGTAATATACTAAGAGTTCGGGGAATTCTTCAATCAATTTAGCCATTGAGTAGTGCGTTGACGACAAGAGTACTACTCCACGAACACAATAGTCAAAATGACATAAAATACATGAATATAGTATTAAACAAACAAATCCACAACATGCCCATGAAAATGCGAAATAAAAAAAACACACTTTTCTCTCTCTCTCTCTCTCTCTCTCTCTCTCTCTCTCTCTCTCTCTCTCATTTTTCTAATGTTTCATTCATGCATGATGAACCAATATCATCGAAGCTAGCATGTTAGTGGTGTGAAAGTAATACTAATTAGGTAATCAAGTAGATCTGATATCCTATTATTCCTAAATCCATTTGTATAATTCAACCTAATGAGAATGACATTGATTTTATAAATACTATAAATTTATTTTTATTCCTTCCTCAAGATTGCTAGCATGTGTTTGGATGCCTCCTAACCTACCAACTCACATGCTCCACACCAATTAACATTTAATTAGGCACATAATTATAGGTTTAATTAGCTACCCGATTCTAATCAAACCACTGGGATCCATCCACTGTATGACTCTGGATCCATCAGATCATGATCTTTTTTCCCTTGCAATAATCTCTTTGTTTATTTCACGATTACCCAACCAGTTGGTGGTGCCAGAAATGTTAGATCTTGGATGACTAAAATTCTTAATAAAATTAAGCCATGATTTCTAATAAGTTAAATTTGACTAGCGACTAATAACTAGCTAGCTATAAGTCTAAGTCTAAAAACCTAGTCACGAATTTGACTGACTCAAAAATTCAAAGGTAGAGACAACCAACCCTCTCCCCAAATTTAGCTGATGATCTGACCACAAATTGTACAATCCAATAGCCTGTTAATAATAGTTTTGACCCAAAAAGAAGTAGAGAAAATCTGATTACTTATAATGAAATGATAGAGAAGTTACCTTTTTCTTTTTTCTTTTATCCAACTTTACAAGCACGTTCTTTTCTTTCTTTTTCTTCCCTTTGGGTACGTAGGTCAAAGTACATGTATTCAAGCACTGAGGTTAAGGTTCGATTATCCATCATTTTGTTGCTATGTGTGGAAATACTGGCCCATGGCCCTAATCATTCAGCGAAGGTGACATCCACTTCAAATAAGTTATGACCGTCACGGGTGATTACCAATCCACCTATATAAGAACACGACGTGACGGTCACGGATCATTTATGAAACTTACTTTGTTCCAAAATTGTTAGATTGTAATTTGAATTTATGGGAACATCTTAAATCCAGCAATCTTGTCATAAAAGAGAGGGAATTAAGTGGAACAAAACCAAAAGTGGTTTTGGATATAGATAGATGTAGTACTACTCAATTATTGGAAGAGACAAAACCTGGACTAAATAAGGTGCGAGCCCATTTACTACCAGTAGTGGTTGGTTGGTTCCCATTACAAATATGCATCGAAGGATAATTCAGGATTTTCCTTTCTATTATCTAATTACTCCCACTTTCTATCATTGTGCCCCATTCTTCTCGCAACACAGCATGGAAATACACTAATAAAAGCCAAAATTTTGGGATTTTGATTCGATGTTCAAGCAGCAAATATATAGCAAAGGATTCCATTTAGAAACATAATCACTAGGGGCTTTTCTTTTTCTTCTCAGAATGTTCTCTCTCCAAAAGACAGTATCATTACTGGTTTCCTTTCCACAATGTGAAGGTTAATAAAATTCGAGTTAGTCTTTATTTTGTTGAAAGACATCACGAGTTCAAATTTCATAAACGGCATACAATCGTCGTCGGAAGACACCTTAAAATTTCTCATCTTGGTGCAATGCACATGAAATGAAACCATCTTTTTAAGGAACATTCGTATTGGATGCTAACGTTTTTCGAGTTTGGAGAAGCCCACGTCTTTAGACCCGTGGGCCAAGCATTTTCAAGGCCTACGACAGACGACACAACATGTTGTTTTCCTCTATGAAGCAATGAAACGACAATGATATTTAACACATCTGTTTATAGATATCAATTACAAATCATGCTAGTTCCTCGAAATTAATACAATTCTCATGATGAGGATTTAAGCTTATTACATGAATTTCTATAGTCTCTGCTATGGCTGGCAAGACCCTGGAGTTGATCCTGGCTGCAATCAAACACATAAATTGTTATAAACTAATATTAAAAAAACTATCTTCATGCAATCAAAATTTGTTTTAGCTTACCACACATGCATGTACATCATTGCATCCACACAAGAGCTCCCCATTCAGGGTGTCTAAAGCTTGAAACGACCCTCCTCCTTCACTCCTCTGCATCAGAAACCAAGCATTTGTGTGAATAAACAGTTCTCTGGTTTCATTCAAAACCAAAAAATTAAACAGTGGGAAAAAAAAAGGCATGCCTTGTAAAAATCGACAGCGACGAAGTTAGCCCATCGGTTGCCAGCCGCACCATAACAAGTGTAGAGCATTTTAATCAGATCCCCAGAGTTAATTGCACAGCTGACTTGCTTGATGGGAATGGAAGTAAAATAATTAACCAACACCAATGATTTAGTCTTGTCATTTAGAGGTGCTGATTCTCCTCTATTTGGACAATTTCCTGGCTTCATTCCACCATCCCCATCTGTGTTCAAAGTAAGACTCAGAAAAAGTAAAAAAGAAAAATATTTGAAGTTGGTTGATGGGTTCTTACATTGGTTTTCAACCATGTAGTTCCATTGGTATGCAATCCCTTCAGATTGTTCCTTGGCACTTTTTGAAGTAAATACAAGTAGTCTTTGGTTCTTAGCAACCATGTCACTAACCAGTGGCCAGTCCTGACCATTTTTGGGCATGCTTGTCACTGGAAACCAGTATTTCATCAACCCAGAAGCTTTGAAGACATTTGTCAATCCATTTGGAGCTTCAACATAGTCCTCTAATATCAATGTGACAATTTCTGCTGGGTTGGCTGATAAAAATGCTCTCATGATCTCCATGAGCTGGTATCTATAGTTAGTTCCTATTAATTAAGTAGAAAAAAAAAAAAAAAAAAAAAAAAAAAAAAAAAGACATAAAAATGAAATGAAAGGGGCAACTGGGTTTGCTTACAAATGCAGTAATGTCATGGCATTTTCCGTTGAAAGAGTGGCACAACCACACATCTCCTTTAAAATCATACGTATCGAGCATTAAGGCTCGAACCCCGTTCTGTAAATTGTCAATGAAGATGACACACAAAATGATGGTCAGAAAGTTTAGTGAAACAAGTCATGTTATAAATTAAGCAGCAAATGAAATAGAATTGAGAATGGCACAAGGCAAATATACATTTAGCTGTTGAGTGATAGTATCTTCTTGATTTGTGAAGGTAACGCGAGGAATTCCAGTATGAGAAGGCTCTCCCTCAATAGCAAAAGCATTGTGGGTTGTCAAAAACGCATACTTGTTGAATGGCAGAGAATTGTTCTGTTGCATTGCAGCAAAGAACAAAAACAACAAATAAATCAAAATGAAAAAACTTATTGGGCCTAATGGGCCCATGTGAAGGCCCAAATAAATGTTCTGAAGCCCAATGAATGGGTTTGGTGGGGCCATTGTGTTCTGTTCAATTGTTGTGACATCCGAAGGAGCCGGCAAAAGTCATGCTTGGATTGGATGGATTCCATGTCCCCCAAAAAATCTCTGTTTTTTTCCTTTCATGGTATTGTAATGTAAAGTTGGAAACTTCAGAGAGTCTCTGTACGTGAGTGTGTATGAGAGGGAAATAGAGACTGAGTTGGACATACCAAAAGCTTGAATTGGTCTGTAATGGTTGATCTTATACATCTAGAGCCGGTAAAGGCTTCTGGGCAAGAGGAGCAGAAAAGCCCTGCCTCACAATCTCCGTCTGATGAGCATTGTTCTAAAAGCTACACATTCAAACCACAAGAACATAAAGCTTTACTCTTTCTTTTTCCTGTCGCAAACATTCATTCATAATGAAAAAGTGTAGGCAGGCACAAACCTTGCACTGTCCATTGGAGCAAGCGGTGGCAAAGCTGAAAACCGCTGCACTAGCTATGATCATCAAAAGCAAGTTCTGCCGAGTCTTCATATTTGTAAAACAAGAAAAAGAAGAAGAAAGGAAATAATGTATCTGTTGGGTTTGTTGGGTTTTGGTGAGCAGCTTGGGTTTCTCAGTTTCGGCTGAGAAAACGAAGAACTCGGCAGAACTTTGGACTAGGAATTAAAACTGAGGCTGGGGATACATAATTATATGGATTGGATTTGGATATAAATGCTGAAATCCAAATGATTAAAATGGGAACTTGGCTGTATATGATTATATCCAATCACGATTCACAACAAAGACGTTGGTGAGACGAAGATAAAAATAGATTAAAAATTATGGTTTGGCCAAATCAGTCGAACCGTAACGGAACATTTAACTTTCGCTCCCATAATTCATTAGTTTGACACGTCACTCAAACTCTCTCGTGAAAAATTGACTCACGGTTAAGGAGAAAAAAGAAAAGAGTGCTCCTATTTTCATCACTCGTCCTATTTTCTCATTCATTTTATCTTTAAAATTTTAAAAATAATTTTACCCTTTTGTAAAATGACTTCTAAAAACTTAGGAAAAAAACCTCAACTCATATAACCCACCTATTTTACCGTTTGACAAAAAGAAAAAAAGAAGAAGGAAAGTGTACAACTCGTGAAATTGATTCAGTCCGTCAAACACAACTTGATCATCTCCATATGTCTCAAACTAATGATTACTTGAATTAATAATTAAAGAGTGTTTTAAGAATAATGGTGGGTGGAAAGATATGACTGTGTTTTTTCAAATTTACATAGTGAGTGAGAAGATAAGGTGGGTGAAGAAATATAACAGGATGATGGAAATAACAGCACTCAAAGAAAAAAAAACAAAAAATGGAAATGTAGGATAAGGAAACTAATCCATGTTAATCAGCAGTTACCATATATGTTTGACCATATATGGTACTGCAAATATATTTTTAGACCATATATTAATATATATACGAGGATATACTTAGCATATCCTTCCCATCCCATTACAATCAATTACATGACTATCGGCATCCATCTAAATTCTAATACAATTCAACTGACCAAGATTAATGTTCTTTAGAAATTAACAAAAGGCCTAGAAAGAAATAATCCTGGGCCGATCCACAAAAAACCGAGTCCATAGCTCAAGTATTTAATTTAAGAAGAATTTTAGAGGCTAATGTGCAAGAGGTTTGAATGTTGGGCAGCAACCCAAAATAACAAAAAATTATAGCCCAAACCGAGCCCATCGTTGACGCAATTTTTGGCATGTAATATATATTTTTTATATTTATGTTATATAAACGATAGTTTAAATTACAGTAAGTTAATTTAGTCTAGTCTATGCGTAAGGTATTCAAACTTAAGTGTAGAGAGATGAGCTCATTGTTCTAGCCAACTAGTTTAACCAACTGTTAATAGTCATGATATATTTATTTAAGAAGAAGAATCATGAATTGAATTAGGGGATGGCTCTTCTTTAAAAAAATAAGAATTAACTTTAAAGGATAGTTGATAAACATAACTACAGAATAGCACCAAAACATAATTAAATTGGCCCAAAGCAAAGCAAAACAAAAGAACCCATAACGTTACAAATCCCAACCCAAGTAAACTTTTCACAAGTAAATGTCATATAGAATAGAATAGAATAGAATAGATTATGGATATATCATTCGTCTTGAGAGAAGAATCGGTTGATGGTAGGCATGATCTCAGGCGGGCGGGTGCGGAGGAACTTGCGCAGCCCATGCTCTGCATACTTCTCTCCCTCTTCCTTGTTTTCCAGCACTCCCATTCCACGCCTAGCTTTGTCGATTCTGCAAGTTCATTAAATTAATTCCTTAATCACACGTTTAATTTAATCAGGACCCTTTAATTATACATACATATAATAATAAGTATATTTTGTACCTGACATCTGGGTTTAGGAACACGTTCCTTGTAAGCTGAAATGCACACAAGCTTGTCACAAATGTCATCGCAGCCATTAGAGGGTACACCTAAACAAAACAAAATCCCACACATGAAATTTTTTCATTTATAAATTGTTTTATTTTTTGACGGGTTCACTGTCCTGACCAACCGAGTCTAAACAAACAAAAGCCGAACCAAAGCTTGCTCACCTCAGGCTTAACCCAACGCCCCATCAAAAATAAAGATCTCCTTGTCTAGCTTTGTTGCTCTAACGAGAATGAGATGATCACCAACCAACAGACAGAGAAACAGGCTACCTTCTTGCTTTTTACTGTTACATTGGAATTCTATGTGCGCCTAGTATATATAGTGTCGTGTGGACTTGGGGTCACCAACAAGGAAGGGGAACTAGATGGAAAGTCTATCCTACTTACTGTGGGCTGCATCTATTTTGACCACCTAAAACCAGCGGCTCAGCCTCTGGATTTCTAAAACGCGTAACTTTTCAATGGCCATTTGGCAATAGCCTTTGCCTGTGGGTTGACAATTTAAGTCTTTGATCCTATCACTAGAATGTTCTTCTGCGGTGGCAATCAAATATTTGCAGAACATAAACATTAAAAGAATAATATTAATTCCTTGACAGATAAGAAAGTTAAAAATAAGGGTTAATCGTTTTATTAGTCCATGAACTTAGACCTGATTTGTATTTGAGTCTCTCAATTTCCAAAATCATTCCCGTGGTCCTTCAACTTTAGCTTTGTTAGGACAAATGGTTATGCAGTCAATTTTGTTAACTTTTCTGTTAAATATAGGGGCAAAATAGTATTTTTATATCAAAATTGATTAAAATATGAATAAAAAAGTAAAATTAAACTCTCTCTCCCCCCTCTATCCCGATTTCTACTCCTCCCAAACTTGATTTTTTGTTGTTGATTTTTTATTTGATTTTCTTTTATTATTATTTTGAAGATATGATTTTTTATTCATTTTTTTGGTTTTAATATAAAAACACCATTTTGCCCCTGCATTTAATAGAAAAAATTAACAAAATTGATGGCAAAACCATTTGTCCTAGCGAAAGTGAAGTTATAGGATCATGGGAACGATTTTCGAAATTGAGGAACTCAAATGCAAATCGGGTCTAAGTTCAAGGACTAATAATACGATTAATCCTGAAAATAAAATATGGGCCTAGAGTATACCAGAAAAAGAAAAAAAACTATTCTAGGCCTAGATGCCCCAGCCCAATCTTCATAAAGATATCACCATTGAGAAATATGAGAATCCGGATTATAATGAATCGGCCCTTAATAGTTATCCGATTAATTGTAGAGTTATTATCGGATGGATGAATTGAACCCCTCAACATAGCCCCATCGTTAAGAAGCACTTGGGCTGTTCTTGTTTTCAGCTAACAAATTAGCGATAAAACTGAATAAATGCATTTGATTTATGACCTAATGCTATAAATTATGCTTTTTGCACGACCAATTGATGCTTATATCTAACCTAAATTACTAGATCATCTATGAATCCCTTCTCAAATTGAATGATTTATGGAAATGAGTGGAAAAATACTGCAGCCAAAAAGAGAGACATTTTACTGTTGAAGCAAATCCAATTCAAGTCTGTTAAATGCAAAGCAGTTGAGTGGCCTTTCTAGCAGAAAGGGACTCAGTACTTGTCCCTACTTCGGTGTTTTGCTTATTTTCAAACTCATACTTCTGACTTAAACCCTTGGAGACGAGCAAGATTTCAGACAAGACATAAAATATTCTAATGGCACACATGCTAAAATGATTACTACGGATGGGTCGAGCTTACCATGCAGAAGCAACCAGCTTGTATAATAATATAGTGGGATTTTATATATTAAATCAAAATTATAACATGTCTGGTTTGATTAAATATTTTTTTTGTAACATGTATGGCCAATTTCTTAGCTTCAACTTCTAACCTCATTATCTGTCACCTTCAGCTGCAATCCGGACCGTTGAGATGTTGTGCTCACTGCAGATTTTTTTACCCTGCCTGGTCTCATTAGAAGTTGCTTTAAGACATGGAAAGCTAAACAGAAGTCTCCAGATGAGAGAGACTAAGAGAATTGAAGATGTTATAAGCATCTAACAACAATTTGGTAACCCATCTATGTAGAAAGCTAACAAAATTTTCTTTCCAGAGTCTCTATCTTTATTAAATACATACACATCCATTGCCCACTAGGAAGCTCATGATCGATTTCAGAGCCTTTGTTTAACAAGCCTGTGAACCCAGCTCAACAAAATTGCTCAAGCTTACAATCCAAATTCAAGCATTGGCAAGGTTGGTAATTAGGCTTTTGAACCAGAGATGAGATTCTTTGTCTCAGCTCTCTTCTTTCTTGTCATCTTTTCATATGCAGGTAAACTCTTCCTCCTTAGAACACTTTTACTTCGAATGAAACAAAATCACTTCTCTCTGCTTATGAATTTTGTTGTTCATGCATGTTTTGTGGTTTGATGCAGCTGCATTTGATCCCTTGGATCCAAATGGAAACATAACAATAAAATGGGATATCATGTCTTGGACACCAGATGGCTATGTGGTGAGTATGTTACTTATCTATAGTTGAAAGAAATTTGTTGTAAAAAGATTTAGAGGGCATATGAACTTAGTCATCACATAATAAAATGTGTATCAATGACTATGCCTCCCCTGAATTGTATTTTGCAGGCAGTTGTGACTCTGAACAACTTTCAAATGTATCGGCACATCATGAGCTCGGGGTGGACTTTAGGATGGACATGGGCTAGAAGAGAAGTGATATGGTCTGCGGTGGGCGCTCAAGCCACGGAGCAAGGTGACTGCTCTAGGTTCAAAGGGAACATACCTCATTGCTGCAAGAGAAACCCCACATTTGTGGACTTGCTTCCTGGTGTTCCTTACAACCAGCAATTCACAAATTGTTGCAAAGGTGGAGTGCTAGGTGCATGGGGGCAAGACCCCTCAGCTGCTGTCTCCGCCTTCCAGCTCAGTGTTGGATCAGCTGGTACTTCAAACAGGACAGTGAGGCTTCCCAGGAACTTCACTTTGCTAGGCCCAGGACCAGGATACACCTGTGGCAGGGCAAGAGTTGTGCCTCCCACAATTTTCTTGACACCTGATCGACGCCGAAAGACTCAGGCGTTGAGTAAGTTCCGCTGCCTGCTAGCTGACATGATGATCTAGAGATTTATAAAGTGCTTCATTCTAATATTTGATTTGATATATAAGTATACTCTGGTTAACTTAACATCATCATGTTTTTATGCAGTGACCTGGAATGTGACCTGCACTTACTCACAAATTCTGGCCAGAAAATACCCAAGCTGTTGTGTATCTCTCTCATCTTTCTACAATGACACAGTTGTTCCTTGTCCACCTTGTACTTGTGGTTGCCAAACCAAGGACAATTGTGTCAAGTAAGTCATGACCCTTTTGGACATTTTCAAAATATGGTCTAAAGTAACTATATATTACATAATTTGTGCAGAGATGTATGCATAAATAATAACATGATCCATGTTGATTGTGTTACAGAAGTGACTCCAAAATTCTGAGCATGGTGGGAGTTAACACTCCGAAGAAAGACAATAAGCCGCTGCTGCAGTGCACAAGGCACATGTGCCCTGTTAGAGTGCACTGGCATGTGCAGCGTAACTATAAGGATTATTGGCGTGTGAAGGTTTCGATCACAAACTTCAACTATCGGATGAACTACACGCTTTGGACTCTGGTTGTTCAGCATCCTAATCTCAACAATGTCACACAAGTGTTCAGCTTTGATTACAAGCCTCTTGTTCCTTACGAGTCTATAAGTGAGTTCCAAACAATCTCCTCTTCCACATTGTTCTCATAGTCAGGGGCTAACATAACTGTCATGTTATGTTATATGCAGATGACACTGGTATGTTCTATGGCTTGAAATTCTTCAACGACCAATTAATGGAAGCCGGGCCTTTTGGGAACGTTCAGTCGGAGATGCTGCTTCGAAAGCACAAGAACACATTCACTTTGAAGGAAGGGTGGGCATTTCCTCGCAAAGTCTACTTCAATGGTGACGAGTGCCAGTTACCCCCTCCTGATGCCTACCCCTTTCTGCCCAACTCTGCCTATCAAAATCTACTTTCCTTCTCAACATTCATTTCATCATTCATTTTCTTCTTGATAGCCATTTGGTGATTTAGCTGCATAGATTTTGGAATTGTGGCGATATGGCTAATAAGTTTTTTGAAGCAAAGGTCTAAAGGATATTTTGCACATAGAAATGAAGCATAGGCACTAAAATTCCAAGGGCTCTTTCTTTGACGAACTAAACTTGACTTACTCATATGTATCTTGTGAATAGAGTGAGTCTGCTATTTGAGTTTCTATGTTCTATCATCATCAGGAATATAGTATCATGTAAGTAGATCTTTGTTTTTCGAGAGATGTAAGTAGATCTATTAAATTCTGCTTTGTGCTGCAATTTGAATTTAAATTAATGCTGGTGATATTTTTGTATATGGCCGGCAACTTGAAGATCAATTAAAATCTCAAAAAATTATATATGAATTTGCACCTAACAAGTTAATGCTTACAACTAACCTTCTCAACAGGGAAGGTATTAGAGAATGACTATTATGTGCTTCAAAGTAAAACTATATGAGTCAATACTTGTCAAATGGCATCTTCAATTTAATGCAGAACTGCCATGATTTGATTGAATCAATCCGGTCATATGAGATGTGAGAACGAAAAACAACCGTAAGATCGATACTATGATCAGATTCAATAGCTAGTTAATCATTCTTATTGATTTACAATCACGATTACAATACCCTGGTCACTCTACAAGTGAGGGGTTGACTACATGAATATACACAAAACACAATAGCCAGAAGTAACCCACTCTTATGTAGTATCAAGAAACAAAAATGGACACCAGCAGCGTACTCGAATCCATCTAACTTCATAGTGGAAGCATTTCACCAAAATGCATGGAAAATTGAGTGGCTTCCATAAATTTTGAGGTCAACTAAGCCCTTTGAAAATCTAAGATTTGAACACTTGCAAGCTCAGGTTAAGCATGAACATACATGAGTGCAGCGGTTGATAAAGAAGTCATGATTAGAGTAAGCAGAGAGGTATACTGTCGGAAACCAGAGTTTGGCAACCATGGATAGGCATCAGGAGGTGGCATGACACAGTTATCGCCATTGAAATAGATCCTTCGAGGGAAAGCCCAACCCTTATCAAATGTGAAAGTTGCTTGATCCTTCCGGAAAAGCAGCTCTGACTGTACATTACCAAGAGGCCCAGCTTGCATCAGCAAATCGTTGTAGAACTTAAGTCCCCATAGCATGGCTGTATCATCTGTTTGAAAGAAAACCAGATTACACATTCCCAACTTTCAATGCGCATGCATAATAATGAAGATTAACATATGCAGGTCTTTTAGAAATCTTGGAAAACTTGAAGTACAGGTCAAATCACATAATAACACTACGATTAAAGAACATATGAAAAAATAATAAGTCAGGATTAGCATACTTATTGTCGCATAAGGAGTTATTGACTTGTAGTTATAGCTGAAACTCTGGGTCAGATTGTCAAAGTTTGGGTGTTGGACAACTAAATTCCAATCCGAGTAATTCATCCTGTAATTGAAGTTTGTAACTGTAACTTTCACTCGCCAATATTCCTTGTAGTTTAGCTTGACATGCCAGTGAACTCGGATTGGGCACATATGGTTAGTGCATCGAACCAGAGGCGTGTAGCTATTTTTGCTAGAGGCTGAGACAACTGAAGCCAAATAGGGGGAATCTGGCCTGCAAATTCACAGAGAACATAAATGTCTTATAGAAAAATAAGAAACATTCCATCTTAAAATCAGGAAAAAGAAGTTTAAAAAGGTTATTCTGGAAGAGAGCTCACTCTACACAGCTTCCTGGATGAGTTGCATTACTTTGGCAGCCACACGAACATGCTGGGCAGGGCACTACCGTGTCATTGTAGAAGGATGAGAGTGAGACACAGCAAGTGGGAGTTTTCTGAGCCAGGAATTGCGAATATGTGCACGTAACATTCCATGTCACTGTCATGAACAAGAGGAAAGATTAAACCGATGTTTTCTTAGCACAAACACTTGTCTTTAAAAACATTCATAATATTATTATAACTTACTCATAGCTTGAGTGACTCTCCGTTTATCTGGAGTGACAAATTTAGTTGGTTTGACGATATTTGCGCGACCACAAGTATACCCAGGCCCTGGTGCATTCAGGGTGAAATTTTTAGGAGCTCTGACCGTCTTGTTAGTGGTTCCTGCTTGACCAACACTTAGTTGAAAAGACCCCACAGCATTGGCTGGATCCTGCACCCATGAAGTAAGTACTCCTCCTTTGCAACAATTTGTAATTTGTTGATTGTAAGGAGTTCCTGGCAATAAATCAACAACAGTTGGGTTCTTTTTACAGCAGTGGGGGATTGTTGTTTTAAATTTTGAACAATCCCCTTGCTCTGTGGCTTGTCCTCCCACCATGTTCCATATAACCTCCTTCTTTGCCCATGTCCATTGCAGTGACCAGCCTGGTGCTTGAATGTGCCGATATTTCTGGAAGTTATAGATGGTAACAACAGCCTGTTTATTCAAAGAGAATGTTGATTAGATATTTACCCTATTCAACTATTCTTAAGTGGAAGGTAAAATGAATCCATGTTAAAATGCTGCTTTCACAACTAACAGAGATTTAATTTACTCAACCAAAAGAGAAACATGTAGATTTAAGCTCAACTTGTGTTTGAAATTTTATGTAGAGGACCACACCCTAAGACTCATTCTAGTGACTAAGTTTAATTGTCGAATATCCCCAGTAGGAATGTACATTGCAAGTGACAAACATACCAAAAAACCCAATCCTACTCTATGGAAAAAAATATCTGAATCAGTCACTATGTAGGCTATGAAAGATTCACTAAACTTTCTTATGCTCATGCCAAGGCTGAGTGCACTCTAATCTGTGCAAGCAAGAAGCCAAATGGAAGCATGAAGTTCAGATGTTGTTCAGGTTAGGCAACTAACGCTTGAAGAACTTGATACGCAGCTCTTGTTATTCCTTGGAATTCAGAAACATGTTTCTGTATTATCTATGTTCATTGTATGTTTATTTCTTTCTTTGAAGTCAACCACATTAGAAAAGCCGAGCAACTAAGGTAAAAAATAAACGATAAATAGACACTTCTCGACTATCACAGGCTCAAAATTCAAATAACACTTACAACATAGCCATCAGGAGTCCAGCTTATAATATCCCATTTGATTGTGATATTTCCATTGGGGTCAAGCGGATCATATGCTTCTGGTAAGAAATAAGCAAAACAATGAACATTGTGATGAGCTGAATCAATTAGAGATTATGTAAAAATAATAATTTTGGAGTCTTGTTCTCATTTTCCTTGTAATAGAAAGTATTTGATAGCTGAATTAGTTTAACTGATTAAATTTTCTTTCTTCAGTATCTCATCTGTTGACACTAACAAGTTCGAATTCTTTGTGAAAGAAGAAAAGAGTTCGAATTCCAAAACAGAACTCAAAAATGGAAAAACAAGAGCTAAGGTCCATATTTTCCATCAAAACTCGTTTGCATCAATATCAGAGAATTAAACGTTCTGATATTAAACAAAAAAATGATTTCTTCATTTGTCAAACTCAAAACCCAAAACCCAAAACCCAAAACCCAAAAGTTGCCAAAACCTCACAAACATTTCTCCAATCAAACAGTCAACCACACCTTCAAGGAACAGAATTCAACTAATATGAGACACTCAGACACATTAGGCCACTATAGACTTAAAAAGGAATAAACCCACGAATATAATCAAATTCCAAGAAAAAAAAAACTAACTTTAGAAAGATTGAATGAGAAAGAGGAAGACTGATGATACCTGTAGCAGTGAAGCTGGTACAAGCAAGTCCAAAGAGAAGCAAAATGGTGAAACTGATCAATTTTGAGACTGATCGAATCATGGGTAGGAACAGAGGCCCCATTTTCTGTTAAAAGATTGTGTTCTGGTCCGAATGTCTGAGTTTTATTTCTTGGGTGGCGAAAAGTTTCTTTCTTTTTGGTCAAGAGGGTGGCACAAGTTTCGTTTTTTCACACAGAAAAAGGCGTAAAGGGTGGAGAGAGAGTGGGACGAACGCGGTAACGTGTGTGCTCCCTTGCCTGTCTGCCTGCCAAGTCCCCCAGTTTAAAATGTAGTGAGTTTTCAAAAAAACTAATATTGTATTAACGGGTTATTTATTAAAAAGAAAACAAAAGAATACTTAAACATATTAATTGACTGTTTCAAAGTAAATGCTTGACAGTTGTGATGATCACAAATCATAATCAAACGGCTTGGCAATTGGTATTTGGCAATTGGCAGCTTCTTGCAGACCAAAAAAGAATTTGGCATCTTCTGGTGGTGACTAATGGTCTTGGTTTGAAGCTCGATTGTCTTTGTGGTTTGGAGTTTGTTCACACTCCAAGGTTGGTTGGCATTCACCATTAGGCTAAACTTAAGTCATATTTTCAATTGGAAAATGATGATTTGTAGCCTAGCAGCAAAAGCTTTATTGAAAAGTCTAAATGCAAAGTTACATTTCATATACATCTTCTTTTTTATTATATGGTTTTGATCAAATCTTTCTGTGGGTAATACCGGATTTATTAATTTTTATTCCAAGATTTTATAAACCCGTTTTGGAGAATAGAAGACAAAGACCTTGTCCTAAATAGAACACAATTTTTATTATTTAAATGTAAATTGTACCAAATGTGTATTGGAGGGAGGTATACAGTGTACATCCAATTCATATGTCACATGTGGACGCCAATAAGCATTCCCTAAAATCTGGTCTCCAGCATGAATTTGTAATGCATGAACTGGCTACACGTTTTGACTCTTTTAGTTTTGCGACCTTTCCTGGTTCTCAAAAGCTTCACCAGTCCCAGCCATCATCATCACTACCATTCAATATTACTGAATATACTATTTTATAGATCAATCAAGAAGGATTATTTTTTATTTTTCTTATATGCTTGACTCGTGTGGAACATATATTTCATCGACCAATAAGAACATAACACGTGAAAAAGGAATATTTTTTAAGTTAAACTAATTACCATAATTAATTTCTACTTGATTAAGAAAATTATCTTTGATTTAATATAGGAATATCTCCATAAATCAAGGAACCTATCTCCATAGGAATGGACCCATGAATCTTATCTCATAGGGTCATAGTATAAAAGTTCAATTTTTTGGAGGAGTTGGGGTTGGGGCTTAAAGGTTTGGTGGGGGAGAGGGTTAAAGGTTTTTTTGGTGGTCTTGGGAGGGGGGTGGGGTGGGGATTTAGGTTTGAGGGTTTAGGTATAGGGGTTTTGGATTGGAGATGCTGAAGTCGAGAGAGTTCTCTTTGAATCTGTTCTTTTTTTTCTTTTTTTAAAAAAGGACCAGGACCAAACGACGTTTTTTTTGTCGGCATGTCTTGGTCTTTTTTTTTTTTTTTTTTTTTTTTTTTTTTTAAATAAATTTTAAATTTAATTTATTTATTTATTTTTAATTTTTATAAATATAAAAAAAAATAAAAATAAAAACCCCTGGGATTAGGCCAAAATGATGTCGTTTTGGCCAACATGTTAAAAAAAAAAGTGGCATGAATGATGGATTTGCCTAAGCCCCCGGTCCTTTTACAAGATCTTGTTTTGCTTGAGAATGGAGATCTAAGGCACAAACAAAGGGCACATGTCAGTAATCCATATTATGTTTGTTATGCAAAGTAGATAGTCAACAAAAGAAAAAAAAACCAAAGAGGAAATGTTCTTATCTCTTTATTTCTCTGGTTTATTGCCTAATCCCCAGTGAAGTCGCCAATTTATGTAAGGGCTTTTTTGTTCCGGCAGTTACTGATGGGCCTAGGTTGCTGTAAAGAGCCAAATGTGTGAAATTGTCCCTTGAGTCTGAGTTCAAGGATCATACCCTAAGAATGTTTAGAAATGGTAGCTGAGTCTTAGGAAACACCTTGGTCTTCTTCACCACTGAAACCAATAGTTGCTTACAGATAAATTCTTGGGCTTGGCATGAGAAGCTTGTTGCATGAGAGCTGAGCATTCACGAGTTTAGCATAAGAGAGAGAAGGCTTGGGTTTCCTATGAGACACAGAGGCTCGAAGTAAGGGGAAGAGAGAGTTTTTGGGAGAATTTGTTGAGGGGGGATAGGAAGAGGAATGTGGTGGCTTGAGCAAGTTTTCGGCAGCTTGACGAAAGCTTCGTCAGGTTCTGTAATGGCTTGACATAGGAGAAAAAGAGAATTAATGGAAGAACATGGCTTGAAATCGAAGGGTTCCAAGAATGAAAGGTGAAGCTTGCTATCTCTGGATGTGTTTATCGAAAAGAGAGGAAGAAGACAGGGGCATGGGTGGCTTTAGCAGATTTCCAGCAGCTTGATGAAAGCTTCGTTAGGATCTTAGGTTGCTTAACAGAAGAGAAAATGGGAAGAGATGGAGGAATAAGGCTCGAAATTGAAGTGTTCTAGGGATGAGAAATGATGCTTGCTCTCTTTGGATGTGGGTTTTGGGAGAGAGAGGAAGAAGATGGAAAAACAAAGCATGAAATTGAATGTCACATCCCGCGATCGGCTCTGCCGTAGCACGATATTGTCCGCTTTGGGCCCTCCTCTCTGCCCTCACGGTTTTGTTTCTGGGAACTCACAAGCAACTTCCCAGTGGGTCACCCATCTTGGGATTGCTCTAATCATAACTCACTTAACTTTGGAGTTCCTATGACTCCGAAGCTAGTGAGCTCCCAAAAGGCATCGTACTAGATGAAGGCGGGCATGTACATATAAGGCACATCACCCTCTCTCCGTTGGTCGATGTGAGATGTTACAATCCACCCCCTTAGGGGCCCGACATCCTCGTTGGCACACTCGCACCACACGGCAAAGTGGCTCTGATACCAAATTGTCACATCCCGGGATCGGCTATGTCATAGCACGATATTGTCTGGTTTAGGCCCCCCTCTCAGCCCTCACGGTTTTGTTTATGGGAACTTACAAGCAACTTCCTAGTGGGCCACTCACCTTGGGATTGCTCTAGCCCCAACTCACTTAATTTTGGAGTTCCTATGACTCTGAAGCCAGTGAGCTCCCAAAAGGCATTGTGCTAGATGGAGGCGGGCATGTACATATAAGGCACATCACCCTCTCTCCGTTGGTCGATGTAGGATGTTACATTGAAGGGTTCCAGAGGGAAAAAAATTAATTTGGGGGTCTTGTGCAGTGGCACCGCTTGTGTATCTTCAGGGCACCTGAGCCTCTACTTGCACGTAGGGAGGCTGTAAAGGCTTTAGAATAGCATCTCTGACGTGCTTCATCATACCAGGCTTGCTTTCTTAATCTTAATTTATTTTTTATGTGTCTCTTTAGTTTTACTTTACCTTAAAAAGATTTCTATTTTGTTTTATATATTATTTATAATATAAATTTTTTTGCATATGGCTTTATAAAAAAAAGAAAAAACTAAAATTTTTATAACAACTAACTCCTCCATGTTCTGTTTCCATGCAGTATAATCAAAATTGGTACATAGTTTTGTTGTGCTAGTTTCCTACTCTCTTTTGCAGTTGTTACGTTTACTTTTGGGATATTTCTTTCCCTCTTTCCAGGAAAGAAGGGCAAATTTAAACATAGGTTCTTTGTGCCTGGTATTTTGTAAAATCAAATACATTATATTTATATGTGTATATTGCTATATAGTAATGGATAATACTCAAAATACTCTTATCGATAAACAACAATATGAATTATCTTTTTTAATCACTTTAATTAGTAGTTATGTTTTAATTATTATTTACTTAGTGAATATTTATAGTATTAAAAAAAAGACCCTAGTAATGCCGTGTAGCTATACTCTTTTATATAAGAAAAAATAATTTGGCGTTTATCCACACGGCTATACTATTTATAAATAAATAAATAAATAAAAACTGCCAAGCGTTAAGCGCTTGTTTTTGTGAAAAGCGTATAGCCGCATGGCTAAATAGAATATTTCAAACATACAGCCAAGCGGCTATACTCTATAAATAGAATTTTTTTTTTAATACTGCAGTTGTGTGGCCTTTAATTAGTAGTTATGTTTTAATTATTATTTACTTAGTGAATAATTAGTATTTTAATATTTTAATATATTTTATTTTTAATCAATAACATGTTAATAATACGTTAATTTTGTGTGTAGTATTGAAAATTTTGTAAAAAAAACAAGTGTATTAAACATGAAAAATGCATACATACGTGTACAATACGAGTATTAAACGTGAAAATACTAAATTCTTTATACATGTAATAACTACGAAAAAGTAAAAACTCAAAAAGGGAGAATAGAGACTTGGGTAATGGCCAAATAGTAATGGATAATGCTTTAAACTACTCTTATTGATAAACAAAAATTGGGGACAAACAATTATAAAAAAAGAAGATCACAGTGCAATTAAATGGGTATAGCCCCACAGCTATATTATATATAAACAAAGAATTTTTTTTTAAAAAAAGGACCATAGTAAAGCCGGTTGGCTATACCCTTTTTTATTAAAAATAATAATTCGGCAGTTATACTATTTATAAATAAATAAAAGGACCAACCTAAAGCGTATAGCCCAGCGGCTATATTCTAAAATTATTCAAACTTGAAGCGTATAGCCGCGCGGCTAGACTCTATAAATACAATTTTCTTAAAAGTATAGCCGCGCGGCTATACCCATTGAATATCATAATCTGAATTTCTCTTTTTTAATTACATTAATTAGTAGTTATGTTTTAATTATTATTTACTTAGTGAATAATTAGTATTTAAATATTTAAATATATTTTATTTTAAATAAATAATATGTTAGTATTTTGTGAATAATACTTGAATTTTGTGTGTATTATTGAAAATTTTGTATAAAAAAAGTGTATTAAACATAAAAAATATGTATGTACATGTACAATATGAGTATTAAATGTGAATATACTAAATTCTTTATACAGGTAATAACACTAGAAAAGTAAAAACTCAAAAGGGGAGAACAGAGACTCGGGTAGTGGCCTAATAGTAATGGATAATGCTCTAAACGACTCTTATCAATAAACAAAAATCAAGATTCAGATTTTGAAGGCCCTGTGCGAAACTTAAACTGAGGTTTTCACATAATCTGATACAAACTTACACTTTGGCATACAAATTTTTTATTTTTTAAAGTTAAAAATCATCGTCAATTAGCATGCAAATCACAAATCAAATTTATAAAAAATTTGATGTTTCAATGAAACTGAAATACTAGTATGTTCAATATATAGATTAGGTTTTCCTTTCAGTGCTTGTTAACTATATGAAGACTTGTATATATATGTAGTATATAAATCAATCATCACCCCACAACCAAATATAATATTATATATATAAACTATCAAATATATATGAACTATGTGCAATGCTCGTTATCTTTCATTATATAATCAATCAGCGTGATGAGACAGGCGGGCCTCTGGAGAAGTTCCATTTCTAGGAATATCATTTGATTAACTCGATGCAACAACGAAATAATTTTGATAAATCATTGTACAATTAGGAGATACTTTCTTAATTCTTTACTGTATCTAATTCTTTATAAAGCCCACATGTAAACTCTTATGTATCTCCTTGTGGAGAAGAATAAATTCAACCTAATACATTCAAACCATATTCATATTTGAGCACAACCCTTGTATTTGTGTTTGTTTAGGGTAGTATGAATTTTACTGTTAATCTCTTTGCTTGTCTTTTGGTGTATGACAGTGACGTGGAACGTGACATGTACGTTTTCACCATTCATCGCTCACAAAATGCCAACATGTTGCGTCTCTCTCTCCGCATTTTACGATAGCAACATTGTGTCGTGCCCAACTTGTTCATGTGGCTGCCCAAGTAATACAAGCAGCCCACAAATATGTGCAGAGTGAGTTTCATTACTTTATCTCACTTAATTTCTTGTAACATTTAGTGTTTTTGTGAGTTTAATGTAAACATGCTTTTGTGAATTTGTAGGAGGGATGCCATGAATAGCTTCGAGCCTCTGGTTCGATGTAGTGATCATATGTGCCCAATCCGAGTTCATTGGCACATTATGATGAACTACAAGAAGTACTGGCGGGTAAAAGTTACGATAACTAACTTCCATTACAGAATGAACTATTCTGACTGGAATTTAGTTATCCAACATCCCAACTTCGATGACATGGCTCGAAGTTTCAGCTTCAACTACAAATCTCCGAGTCTCTATGGGACAATAAGTAAGTTCCTTTCACTAATATAACTAAGTTAAGACTACCATGTCATCAACATATACAATAAGGGCAGTGACTTTACCTTTCTTATGTTTCAAGAAAAGAGTATGATCTGAGTTACTTTGCTTGTATCCAAAATCCTTCATTGATTTGCTAAACTTTCCAAACCATGCTCTGGGTGACTGCTTCAATCCATAAAGAGACTTTCTCAGTTTACAAATTATGTTGCTAGTATTGGGCCCCATCTTGCATCCTGGAGGGGAATCCATATAGTTTTCTTCTTTTAGGTTGATGTGTAGGAAGACATTTTTGACAACAAACTGGTGTAATGGCCAGTTTAGGTTTGCTGCCAAAGACAGAAGTACCCAAATTGTGTTTATCTTGTCTACAGAGGCAAATGTCTCTCCATAGTCAATCCTATAAGTTTGAGTATAACATTTCGCCCTCAATCTTGCTTTGTATTGTTCAATGGTGCCATCTGCCTTAAACTTTACTGTATATATATCCATCTACAACCCACTGTTCTCTTCCCTTTAGGAAGGATAGTCATCTCCCAAGTGGAATTCTTCTGGAGGGCCTCCATTTTACCATTCATCGCTTGAGTCCACTTGGGATTTTTCAGAGCTTCCTGCACATTACTTGGAATAGATACAGTGGATAATTGACATACAAATGATGCACATGACGGATACAACCTATGTAGGGACACATGATTAGCAATAGGGTATTTTACTTTTGTTTTTGGGTCCGGGTCATACTGTTGTCTAGGAATCCCTCTAGTGGTACGAATAGGTAACTGATAACCTATTTTTCCTGTATGACTCAACTCAGGTAAAGTGCTTAAGTTGGAGTTTAAATGTTCAATTACTTGCAGGGAATCTTCAGGACTTGATTGGATGATTGGTGATGGTACTGTAGTAGGAGGGAAATTATCTGAACCATCATATGGAGTTTCCAGTAACTCTTGATCTTGTTGCACTACTGTAGCTGGTTTCTCAGACACTAACTGCTCTAAACATTTTGTTGAATTTGGATGCTCTGAGTATCTTCTGCAAAGATAGAGCTCTCCCCTGCAGAGGATGCTTAGAAACTCCCCCTGAGTAATAGAACTCACTCTCGTGGAAAGTCACATTTGCGGTAACATGCATGGTCTGAGTGGGAGGGTGGAAACACTTATAGCCCTTCTGAGTGTCAGCATAACCCACAAAGACACAACGCAGTGCACACGGATCAAGCTTGCCACGCTGATGTGGATACACTTGAACATAAGCAACACAACCAAAGAGACGTGGTTCGAGATTTGGTGTGGATGGCATGGTGAGGAGAGTGGTCAATGTCTGAAATGGAGTTTGATACTGAAGAGTGCTGGATGGTGTTCTATTAATGAGGTAAGCAGCAGAATAAAGAGCCTCCCCCCAAAAATGATGAGGCATACGGGCCTCAAATAAAGAGGCACTAACAACCTCCAAGAGATGACGATTCTTACGCTCTGCGACGCCATTCTGTTGTGGTGTATAAGCACATGTGGTTTGATGAACAATTCCATGTTGAATTAAAAAATTATGTAGGTCATGGTTGTCGTACTCTCCTTCATTGTCAAACCGAAGTGTAGTGATTTTCTTCTCAAACTGAGTAGCAACATATTGATAAAATAACTTGAATTTGGCGGTGACTTCATTTTTCTGCTTTAGGGGAAAAACCCAGGTCATCCGGGTGCAATCATCAATAACCATCATAAACCACTTAAAACCGCTAATAGTGGGAACTCGTGATGGTCCCCAAACATCAGAATGGACAATCATGAAAGGCATAGAACTTTTATTCAATCTTAATGGGTAAGAAATACGATGGCTTTTGGCCAAAATGCAAGTTTCACAATGAAAGTTTGATTCAGCAAACTGGGAAAACAAATATGGAAATAAAAGTTTCAGATAACCAAAAGAAGCATGCCCTAATCGTCTATGCCATAGCCACATTTTCTTCATCCTGATAGACTCATCTCTTCTCACATGATGTGCGTGACTCAATCTTGTATAGTTGTCTTCTGTCAAGTCCAGATAATACAACTTTCCCCTCATAGTACCACATCCAATCACGGTCCTAGTGAGAAGATCCTGAAACAGACAATATAATGGCCAAAAACACACGGTACAATTAAGGGAATCAATGATTTGAGGAACAGATAACAAGTCATAGTCGAGTGAAGGGACAACTAAGACATGATCAAGACTTAATGAGGATGTAAGAGATAAAGACCCTTCTCCCATAACTTGGGAGGTGGTTCCATTGGCACTGGTAATATGTGTTTGGCTTGATGGTTTGGTAGAGTGCAACCCAGTAAAACTAGATGTCATGTGATCAGTAGCGCCAGTGTCAATAATCCATGATCTATTACAAGTAAGTGAAGATGTGCAAGAGGTACCTGAGGTGGCCAAGGCCTTGGAGCCAGATGTACCTAATGGAGGTTCTGATGCAGTCTCCTCGGATGACTGAGCGGATGCAAATGAGGCTATAGACGAATCCTTTTTGCGCCCTTTGTGGACCCATCCTTCTGGATAACCAATGATCTTATAACAGCCCTTAATTGTATGGTTATCTAAACCACATTTGGTACAATTCATTGGAGGCCGGTTACGAGTAGGGTCGACATTATAGTTGTTCGGTCGAGATTGTTTAGACCTCGCAGTAGCCAAGGCTGTGGCTTCGGAGGTTACACTAGCTTCAGACATGGTTCCCTGTCGGTTACTCTCTCTTTTAATACGTGCATATGCGACCTCCAATTCGGGCTTTAGCTCAATCCTCAAAATCTCTCCTCGGATTTGATCGAAATTATTGTCCAAACCTACAAGAAATATATAAACTCGGAGACAATCAACCTCTTTGCGTCTAGTCTCAATGTCTTTCGGATGCTCCATGGTGCTTGGACTTAATTGATCAAGCTCTTGAAACATCTCAGTGAGCTCACTGTAATATTTGGCAACTGATGCGCCAGCTTGCTTCATTATGAATGATCGTCTGTGAAGGTCATAAATCTTGGCTTCATCAGCACCATCTGAATAGGTTTGCTTGATTGTAGCCCAGACTTGCTTTGCTGTGTCATAACGAATAAATCGTTTAATCTGATTAGGTTGCATGGCGTCGAACAACCAACTCTTGACTTGGCAATCCGATGCATGCCATTTATTAAATGTGGGATCTGTGTCTGCAGGTTGGGCAATATCACCAGTCAAGTGGCCATGTTTTTCTCGCCCAGCTATCTTCATCTCTATGATTTGATGCCATAGAGAATAATTATTCTCATCCAGTTTGATTCCTGCGGAGAAGTTGGAGGTGTCACTCTGCAAAGTGACGATTTGTGTGGTAGTTTTGGAGCCTCCTGACACCAAGGATTGATTGGTGTTTGCTGACCCATCATCGTTGGCCATGATATTGGCTTACAAGTGATGAGAAAAAAAAAGAGGCAAAAAGAAATCTGTGAAGTTACTCTGGGTAATTGATGAGAAAGGGACACAAAAAATATTGGGTTGAAGGGAAACAGTGATTTGAGGTGGTTTGTGAGATTTGAATACTTGTTGAATGACGTGACAAACTAGTTTGACAAACTGGTGCTGGGTTGTGAGATGAAATACAGGCTGGTTTGACAAACTGATTTGATGAAGGTGGACAATAAGACAAACTGATGGAATATAGATGGAATATAGGCTGGTTTGCAATAAGAAATATAGAGGTTTTGGGAAAAAGAAGGCAAGGGAACGGTTGAGTGATTTTCTAGTGTTGGGTTTGTTGACGGCTGCTGTTGCAGAAGCGATTGCTAGGGTTAGGTCAAGAGACAGTCATGATCGGCTGCTCTGATACCATATCAGATTGGGTTAAAAAATATTTCATTCATATGTTTTGATATATAACAATAGGAAGGTTATATATACAGAGCCTAGGAAACTATTCTCGGAAAGTAATTATGTTCCTATAATCTTGCAAAATCAAATAGTTGACTTAGATTAATTAGGAATGTACAGCTCATTGACACAATCAAAGGCTTGCATCATATTAATATAGGGACAGTTAGCTTGTAATTTAGAGCTCACATATTTCTCTATTCTTTTTAAATCATCCTTGGGGTAGCTTGAATACAACTTTTTTATTGTATCCATTGCCTGTAAAAGAAACCAACAATCTATTTAGCCACACAGCCGGAAAGCTGCAAAACATAGAATTCGTACTCAGATATCAAGGGTAATCCTTTTACACCCCTGACATTGTTTTGGTCCTCCGTGATACTACAAATGGCACATTTCTTCATGGGACCACCGGACAAGAGATCAGGAAACTAGTGATTTAACTTATTGTCCAATATCACTGTTAAAATTGCTCATCAAAACTAAGGGCAAGTGCCATATCTTTCAAAGGCATCTTTTTTGCTACTGTTAACTTATATGCTTCTAGGATTGAGAGATTCCAGACTGAGTGTGTGAAAAGTAATGCTATACTTTTCTGTCTTGATGCTCGGTGAATATCAAAATAACAAGGTGGAATCGCGCTGTCACCTCAATTACAATAAAAATTTAACCTAGAAATGATTTTAACCTGCTAAATTTGTATTAGCAGAGAAAGAGAAAAAGAAAAACAGAAATTGACTTAAAACAACCACCTTAAAATGTGAAGCAACTGCGGGAACTCAGAGTCTCCTGGAAGCATGGTGGTGGTGGTGGTGTTGGTTGTGGAGATGGTGGTGGATGTGGAGGTTTTGGAGGAGGAGGTGGTGGTGGTGGAGGTGGAGGTGGAGGTGGAGGAGGTGGTGGACGAGATGGTGGTTGTGGTGGTGGCGGTGGCGGTGGTTGTGGAGGTAGTGAATGTGGTAGTGAAAGTGGTGGAGTTGGATGTGGAAGTGGAGGTGGTGTCATTTTTTAAAATGAATGATAGTATTTTGGGAATTTAAAAAATTCATTAACCGTGTATTTGGCAAAAGGAAAAAAAGACGGGATTTGAAAAAAATCGGGATTTCACTGATGGAAAAGGGATATCCATGCGTTTGGCAAAATCTACTAGGAATTTATCATGATTTCTGAGATGCTTTTTTATTCTTAAGCCTCCTTATTCTCAGTTTTAAAATTCATTTTATGATTATCCAAACAAGGGAAATTATAATTTCCGTCATTTCCTAAATTCTATATACAGGATATCCAAACACTGGAAATTTGGAATTGACGTAATTTGAAATGATGTAATTACAAATTCCGTCATTTACAAATTCAATGAAAATTAGAATTCCTTCCTCCAAACGCAGCATAAAGGTTCATCTCTATTTTTTTTTAAAGCAGCTTGGAAATTCAACATTCTTTGATCCACAAAATGTTGGCAGATCCCTATTTTTTGTTGTTGTATTTATTAGTTTTACCCATATTATTTGTTATAAATAAAATCTATTTTTTTTAAATTCTTGCCCAATGGGCTAATAGTTAGAAATCATTAGAATGAGAGGTATCAAAAAGAATTTAAATTTTCATTCCCAAATATCACTTGTATATATAAAATAATTGTAGAAATAACTCTAGCCCAATGGGCTAAAGTGGTATTTTAGCCCTAAAATGTATATTTCAAGGGTATAGCCGCACGGCTATACTGGCTAAATACATTCGAATATTTTAAAGGTATAGCCGAACGGCTAGACTCTACCAGTTCATTTATATATATATATATATATATATATTAAATTGACTCGTTTGAATTGTTAATTCCTAGACAATTCTTCAGAAAGTTGGATACCAAATTGAACAGACAAAGCATCCAGCCTGTCTCCAGCAGTGCTCAAATAACAGAAATGACTGCAGCTCAAGATCACACTAAGGCGTCAAGAAAAGTGTTTTGTTGCTCCTTTTACTTGATTTTTTGTTGTTGTCATTGAGTTTTCGTTTCTTCTTAATAATAGGTGAATAAGTAAGATAGACTTGTTTATGAACCTTATTAATTGCTTTTGTCTTTATAACTTCTTATCAGACCATGTTATCTGGACTCAATGGCTTTATCTTCTTATTTGCTTTAAACTTTTATTTATTTCTTTTGCATCGGTACAAGAGCTTGCTTCTCGAGCTGCTTCCCGAGTCAAGGCTGTAGCTGCGGAAAAGATCACACCACCAAATTTAGCATATCAATTTGAGGTTTCTTGGCGATTCTCTGGAGATAATGCTCGACGGACTAGCCTGTTGAAGGTCTGCAAAAGTATTCATGTGGTTTACTGTAAAAAAATATAGTCTGCCAAAATGCAAGATTCATATGTTCGTTGTCATCCCCAAGTAGGTGACCATGAATGTGTTCTTTTTGCATGGTGGTCATCCGTGCGGTTGACCACTGCAAAGGTTCTATTAGTCTCGTCTATTGTCCTCTTTGGACGGTTGCCAGAAGTATTACCAGTAATTGCATTGTCAGTCTGCCTATCTGGCTTCTGCATGCTAGGGGCCATCCAAGAAGTTCCCCATTTGTTGTGTCCCTTTTGAACAATTTCAAATGTCCATAAAGGATTGTGAATGCAGTTGGTATTTGTTTAAGAAATCATCACTCATTCTGACTTTCCATTTATGCTGTTACTTTGTTTCATGTTATTTTTTGTGTTATTTCTATACAGGCTATATCTCCAAGTGCATTGCCGCAGATATTCAAAAATGCTTTGACTGTTCCCATACTTCTTGACATTATCAAGTGTGTGGCAACCTTTTTTGTGAAAGTAATGTTTATGTCTAATATGTATGTTTTCTTGTTGAGCTTGATAAAATGCTTATGGCCTCACCTTTGATTTATTTCTTTGGCAGTGAAGAAATGGATTTGGCCGTCAATTATTTGGACAACTTAACCAGGGTTCCAAGATTTGACACACTCATCATGTTTCTTTCATCCTCAGACAACGATGCTATGCATGCTTCTGTTTTAAATTCCTTGAGATTTTCAAAAGCTTACGGTTGAATTCCTGGATTTCAAATGTTTTTTTAAAGTAGAGTATACCTATATCAATGTGGTACATCAGTCTCAGCGACTGGTAATGCTTGCACTGTGTCTTGATTGAATCGTTCCACATTTTCTGATTTGTTAGTCATCCTGCCCATTTTTATGGGGTTTATGATTCATATTTTCCATTAGTTTCATATCCTATACTAACCCAATAACCTTGCAAACAGATCTTGTTAAGATATGGGATGAAGTGTTTGACAATTAGGCAACTTCATTTCAAGAGTACAGCCGACCGGCTATACACTGTCTTTTTTCAAATTTTTAGTCCAATTAATAGTATAGCAAAAATGAAGAAGACGATAAATTCAACAGCAAAAGAGTAATACACGAGTCTCAAAAACATCTTGGAGTCACAAGCTCCAAAGTTCTAGCAAAAGTCAGTTCAGCTACCTTAACAGAAGAAACAATCCTCTGAAGGAGCATGGTGAAGTCGATTTCATCAATTTACAACTGGCTGATTATTACCACAAAAAACCTCCAAAATAACAGTGGAAGACACTCTTTATGAATCCCTAGTCCGAACTCAGACGCACAACAGTCAAACAAGCTCTAAAATTCCATTTCCAGAATTGATCTAGTGCAAAGTTGACATGTTTACTCCTCTTTCTTCTCAAGGAAGACATTGGTGAGAACTGCGTTAGACTCGAATGATGCCTTGAGCAATTTCAGACCCTAAAAAATTAATGAAAAGAAAATGATCATTTTGAACAAAATAACAATTCCTCCAACCAAAACAAAAAAACAAAAGAATATAATAGCAGATGAACGGTGGCAAATTAGCTTTGATTAAAAGCCTACATGATAATGTATGATGGTTGTATCGTCTATTGATCGAGTGTGTAGAGTAGAAATCAAAGCATAAAAAGTGTAACTATCCTATCCTTCCCAACTTGAATCAATTAAGAAAATAATAAAAAGTGGGGTTTGTAATTGATGTGCATATATATTTGCATATTCAAGATGCACATATATTCACAGTTCAAAATGTAGAGAGAAGTTTAGGAAATCAACAACTTAAATGGAGCCTAGTAACAGTTGCAACATGCAAAGACAGAAAACTTAAAAAGGAAATCAACAACTTCCTTGCTTGCTTCAGCAAACAGAACTTTGTGGCTTTTTGTGTCAATCAGAAGCTTCAAACTCACGCTAGCGCTGCTGGTGGTAGCCATTGAGGGGATATTAAGGACAGACCTTCACAAAAAAAGTATCCTGAATTCAAAATTATTCAAAAATGGCAATGGTGAACGGATCTAGAAGGTGGAGGGTCACCTTGGACTCTGCATCATTAGTCGACCACAAAGCAACTCTACACATACAAATCTGTCATTACCTATACATAGGGAATATAATCTACAGATGAGTGAATAAATATATATTTATTTCCACCAAAAAACTGTAATCTTAAATAGGTTCGAAAAATCGGCCTAGGCGCTAGGCGGGAGGACACCGCCGCAATTTCACCCTAATCATTAGGGGTAGGCGCTAGGGAGTTAGGCGGCACCTGGGCGCCCGCCTAGGCGGCCCTAGGCTGCTCTAGGCGGCCCTAGGCGGCTCTAGGCGGGTCTGGCCCCTAGGCGGCTCTAGATGAGCAAGTTTACTTCAGCCGCACGATCGGTTCTCCTTGTTCATTTTTGTATCAACGACAGTGCAAAAGGATCATTGGGATAGCAGATTGGTTTCCTTGGACTCGTCGGGTCGTTTTTACCATATTTTGCGGTATAATATTTGTTACCAATAAGATCAGAGGGCCAAAGTTGAAATAATCCAATGTAAACCAATACAGTTAATGCCAATCCACAAACTAAAATGAACCTCCAAAAGCTCAATTTCTTTAGAGGACCAAAGTTGAAACCTTCATGCACTTTATTACCAGGGAAAACATTTGTAAGAGATGTTTTTGACTCCAATGATGCCTTCACCAGCTTCAAGCCCCAAGAAGCAAAAGCACAAACAAAATATGTAGTGTCAATCAATAGACACAGATAGAGAACATTCTGTATTGTAAACAAAACAAATTTTACAAAAAATATCAAACCTCTTCAATGTCAAGATCAACCACCTTCTCTTCAAAAGCATCAACCGTCTTAAAGTTCAACGTTATAAGCAATGTGATACTTGATACAGTAGACATACCAGCAACTGGTCGCACAACAGAACTGTTCGGCAGGCCTTTGGATCATCGTCGGTCAAAATCCGAAGGACATTAGCTCCAGCAGAAAGTGTCGTAGGTTTCAGCAAGGCCTCGTCCTTGTTAGTAGCAGGTTGTATGTATGTGTCACTGAGATTTTCAACGCTCTTGTAAAGTTTGACTAAGCTTCCACCCATGTCATCCTTGTTAGAGACGAGTTTAGAGGCAATGCCTTGAGGCAAAAGACAATACTAAGCAAATCCACAGAAAGTGTTTTCCCCCTTCAGCAAACAAAAATTTGTGTCCTTTTTACATGTACTTAATTTTGGTGATTGCCATTGATGCCGTCAAGAAGATTGATCGATAATTTTATTAGAAAAGCCTGAAGTGAATTGGTCATGAATACTGGTTGATGGATAGTATATACAACTAGGATTGCTGTTTTTATCTCATTAATTATCATCCTCTGTTTCAGGATTTATCTTCAATAATTACATGATTAATAGATCATTATAAGGCTGCTTTTGAAGATGAGAATTCCTTATTTCACAAGTGATAATCCGTATAGACGAGAAAAGCTAGCTGGTTTATAAGATTTATTTCATTCATATGACTGGGATTATGATCTTGGACTGACTAAACATGGATCTTAATAGCTCAATTTAATTATAAATTGTATTGATCAAATCCATTCACGCATCCTAAACCAGACAAAACTGATTAATCAAATATTCTCCCTGAATTAGATGAGAGTGCTCAATGGAATCAAATTGTTACAACTTAGAACCATTTTCACTTATCATTCTTTTTAAGTTGGGAATGCTATTGAAATCTAAGCCCGCGTACATATGAGAGAGAGAGAGGAGAGAGAGAGAGAGAGAGAGAGAGAGAGAGAGAGCATTAAGAATAGAATGTTTAATATAAATTGCTTGGCCTGAAAAGGCATTCAGGAATTGGTCCTTGTATTAGTGAATATACAAGAAAAATCTGATTAAGAGTTACCAGGGTGTTACAGCACTGTACAACCAGTTGATTAGCAACAAGGCAGTTAGAGACCAGCATCATCCTCCTCCTGTACACAGTAAAGTCCAAAACACATTATGTCAGGATTTGAAGAACACAGCAAAGTAAAGACTTGTCAAGGAAAATAAAGGTCAACAATCCTGATTGGAATTAATATGGACCCAGCTATTCAAAATCCTTATTTGAAAACTCTATCTTCTTTTTTTTAATTTACTGAGGAAAGATGACATCAAGGAAAATATTATGAAGCATTTTCAAATGGAAACTTTTCCAAGACAACGTTAGCATTTCTCAATTCATTTACCTCAGCTCTTTCTATATTACTTGGTTTCGGTTTTGATGATTTGCTAGCAGTATCAGACACTACCATCCAATCAAAATTCACTTCTAATTGGGGATTTTTAATATAAATGGAGACATTAATAGACTTTTCAAGGGGCACCCTACTGCAGCTGGCCCAAAATAATAGCAAATAAGGTCTGGTTCCATAGCAAGTGATTCAGCAACTTCAAAGATAAAAAGTGCAGAAGCAAAAACATGTTTAAATGCAGGAGATGGAACAAAATCAAGTGAAATGGCCTAAGGTTGCATGCACCCTATTAGTTAGTATTTCAGTACAAGATCATCAGACTAGGAAGGTTGATTCACTAGTGACCTGCCACATGACTGAAAACAAAAGCTCATTATCTTTCAGTTTCGAACCAACTTAAGTCAGTTCCGGTACACCAAGAGGTACCCTTCCAGGATGTGGCATCCAGGGGTAGGCGCCAGGGAGCTAGGCGGCGTCTGGGCGCCCGCCTAGGCGGCTCTAGGCGGCCTAGGCGGCTCTAGGCGGTTCTAGGCGGCCCTAGGAGGGTCTAGGCGGCTCTAGGCGTCCCTAGTCGGATCTAGGCGGTCCTAGGCGGCTCTAGGCACTCAAGGAAGGTCTAGGCGGCCCTAGGCGGCTCTAGGCACTCAAGGAAGGTCTAGGTAGCCCTAGGCGGCTCTAGGCGGCCTAGGCGGCTCTAGGAGGGTCTGGGCCGGCGTTTTGCCTTTGAGGCCTGGAGGAAGGGCGGTTGAAGTTCGCAGGATCCGCTGCTTGTTCGGAAGAAAGACGGAGAGGGAGACAGAGACAGAGACAGAGAGAGGAAGGAGAAGGCGCTGGGGAGAAGAAGATATCCGACCTAATTTTTATTTGAAAAGTATAGCCGCTCGGCTAGACTATTAATTTGATTTAAAAAAAAAGAAAAAAACACGGAGTATAAAGGCGTGGCCATACTATTTGTAGATATTATATTTCACCAGTATAGCCGGCCGGCTATACTATTCATTGGAATAATTATTTTAAAAAAAATGGATTATCGCTGCCCGGCCATACTATCCTTTGATATATCATATTTAAATAGTATAGCCGCGGCGGCTGTACTATTAATTGGAATAAAATTTTAAAAAAAACCTCGCGGCTATACTATTAATTTTAAAAGCAATTTAAAAACACTCATTTAATATGAATTTACACAAACCAGGCCAAATTGTTTGAGTTCAATTCTAAAATATACTCGGTAGCTGCATCATTTGATATGTTGTGAAATTAGAGTTAAAATGCAATCGTAGAGAAACGGCTGCACTCAGATGACCCCTTGTGTTAATCAGCAGGATAGGCTTCGACAATTCATCAGTTTCTTCCGATGTTTTGAATCAGTATATATAGATGAGCTTGATTTCTTCAACCTCCCTCAGTACAAAATTGGCCTCCTTATTTGTTTTGGATCAACGATAAAGTTGAATGATTGTTGCGATGGCGGATGAGTTTTCTTGAGATATAATGAATGAAACCAAAAGAATCAATGGACCAAAGTTTACATGATCCAGAGTAATAGAATAGAAATCCCAATCCACAAACCAAAATGAAACCCCAAAAGCTCAATGTCTCTAGAGGACCAAAGTTGAAAAGTTTGTGCTGTTTCTTTCCAAGGAAGACATTGGTAAGAGCGGTATTTGACTCCAGTGATGCCTTCACCAACTTCAAACCCTACAAGAGAGAGAAATATACACGTAAGACATTTAGCTATCTAAATAGATCAACAAGCCTCTGATAAGAGTTAGAGAAATATATAGGACATGAAACCTCTTGCATGCCAAGATCAACCTCCTTAACTTGAAGTGCATCAATCCCCTTCACGTTGAACTTTTGAAGCACTGCAACATTTGATTCGGTGGTCATTGGCTTCACTTCCAAATTATCCATTATCATGTAAATAACACCACCCTTGACATAGCCAGCCTTAATATTGCTCGAGTCATTGTTGGTCGGCAATGGCAATTGAAGGATATTGGCCGCAGAAATTGTTGTTTTTTGGGTTTGAGCAGGGTGTCCTTAAGATTGAGTGGCAAGTATGAGTCGACACTAAGAGTTTCGGCACTTTCGTAAAGGTTGCCTAAGCAACCAACCATACCATCAGTTGAGAGGAGCCTAGTATAACAGTTGCAACATGCAAAGACAGAAAACTGAAAAGGAAATCAACAACTTCCTTGCTTGCTTCAGCTTCAGCAAACAGAACTTTGTGGCTTTTTGTGTCAACCAGAAGCTTCAAACTCGTGCTAGCCCTGTTGGTGGTAGCCATTGAGGGGATATTAAGGACAGAAAAGAAGGAGCATGTGCTTAAGCATTCAAAGACCTATTTTAAGCTTCACAAAAGAAGTTATCCCAAATTCAAAATTATTCAAAAAGGCAATGGTGAATGGATCCAGAAGGTGGAGGGTCACCTTGGACTCTGCATCATCAGTCGATCAGAAAACAACTCTACATATACAAATCTGTCATTACCTATACATAGGTAATATATTCTACGGATGAGTGAAAAAATATGTATTTATTTCCACTAGTTGGCATCCATTAACTAAACCAACAGCCGGATTTACAATTCGTTTTGTTTTGTATTTGCTTTTTCATATTAGTTGTATTGTATCTTCAGGCTTACTAGTTTAGAGGCAAAAGACAGTGAAAAAGCCAACTAACAGGTCTATGCTCCCTTCAGCAAACGGAATTTTGTGGCTTTTTTACATGGACTAGGAGTTTCACCTTAGTTTTGGTGAACGCCATTGATGACTTCAAGAAGACTGATCCATAATTACATGGATGAGTTTATTCTTTGGAATGGATGATGAACTTCATAGATCAAGTAAGAGGAGAGAAATTTGATAGGTAAAGAGAGAGAGAAGATAATAGATCACTAGAACATGTAATTTTGTCACACGTACGCGTGAGTGTGGATTAATCTGGTGTGAAAAGTAGGAGGAGCTGTAATGCAAGGCATCAAAAAGCTTTTATAACCTTGCAAACTGCCACTTTAGAAACAAAACTACATTTGATGTATTTAGAAATTGAAGTAAGAATTTGTGTGACATGACAAGGGTTTGAGTTGCAAGGTGTCCGTTTTAGTTAACCATAGGTTTCATGCAAATGTTAACCACCAACATGCAAAGACAGAAGAGTGAAAAGAAAATCAACAACTTATTTGCTTGCTTGTAACTCTTTGTGCAAAGAGGATAGAGAAGGACGACAGGCGTATAATATGCCTGAAAAGCCTTAGAAAGACCTATTTATAAGCTTAGACAAGCCTTAGAAACGAATGGTACTAAAGCATATGAACTCATAAACCTGCCCAAATGGATAAAAACAGAGAACTGTTATAAAAGTTGATCTCCTGCCAGCTGGTTTGAGATTTGATCATGCCAAAAAGAAACTAAGAAATGGAGGCCCAAAACATAAAATCAACAGAAAAACCAAAAACAAAACAGTGCAAATGCCTTAGAGCAGCGGAGCAGTGTAGATGAGCAAGTTTACTTCAGCCGCACGATCGGTTCTCCTTGTTCATTTTTGTATCAACGACAGTGCAAAAGGATCATTGGGAAAGCAGATTGGTTTCCTTGGACTTGTTGGATCGTTTTTACCATATCTTGCGGTGTAATATTTGTTACCAATAAGATCAGAGGGCCAAAGTTGAAATAATCCAATGTAAGCCAATATAGTCAATGTCAATATCCACAAACTAAAAGGAACCTCCAAAAGCTCAATTTCTTTAGAGGACCAAAGTTGAAACCTTCATGCACTTTATTACCAAGGAAAACATTTGTAAGAGCGGTTTTTGACTCAAATGATGCCTTCACCAACTTCAAACCCTAAGAAGCAAAAGCAAAAACAAAATATGTTGTATCAATCAATAGACACAGATAGAGAACACTATTTATTGTAAACAAAACAAAACTATTTATTGTTGTCTTGGGTTTCAGCAGGGAGTCTTTGTTAAGATTGGGTTGCATGTATGTGTCACTGAGATTTTCGAGACTCTCGTAAAGTTTGCCTAAGCAACCAACCATGCCACCATTAGAGAGGAGGAGCCTAGTCACGGTTGCAACATGCAAGGACATAAGAGTGAAGAGAAAATCCACAACTGCCTTGCTTGCTTCAGCAAGCAAAAACATGTTTAAATGCAGGAGATGGAACAAAATCAAGTGAAATGGCCTAAGGTTGCATGCACCCTATTAGTTAGTATTTCAGTACAAGATCATCAGACTAGGAAGGTTGATTCACTAGTGACCTGCCACATGACTGTGAAAACAGTGTAACCCTAATTCCACGCCAACCAAAAGCTCATTATCTTTCAATTTCGAACCAACTTAAGTCAGTTCCGGTACACCCAGAGGTACCCTTCGAGGATGTGGCATCCAGGGAGCTAGGCGGCGTCTGGGCGCCCGCCTAGGCGGCTCTAGGCGGCCTAGGCGCCTAGGCGTTCTAGGCGGCCCTAGGAGGTCTAGGCGGCTCTAGGCGTCCCTAGGCGGATCTAGGCGGGCCTAGGCCCTTGGTGGCTCTAGGCACTCAAGGAAGGTCTAGGCGGCCCTAGGCGGCTCTAGGCGGCCCTAGGAGGGTCTGGGCGGGCGTTTTGCCGTCGAGGCGTTGACGAAGGGTGATGGAAGTGCGCAGGATCCGCTGCTTGTTAGGAAGAAAGACGGAGAGATGGAGAGAGAGATCGAGACAGAGAGAGGAAGGAGAAGGCGACGCTGGGAAGAGAAAATCATATCTGACCTAATTTTCGTATTTGAAAAGTATAGCCGCTCGGCTAGACTATTAATTTGAAAAAAAAAACCAGAGTATAAAGGCGTGGCCATACTATTTTTATATTTTATATTTAACCAGTATAGCCGCCCGGCTATACTATTAATTTCAGGAAAAAAAAATTGAAAAATGGAGTATAACCGCTAGGCTGTACTCTTTTAATATGGGTTTAGATATGCAATTATGAAGATTAATTTATAGTATGCAATTAAGAAATAATTTGATGTTGCTTGAGAATTGCCGTTCCTAAGTGATGACATCATTGCTTTTTTAAGTGAAAAGACATCATTGCTTTTTTAAGAGAGAAGAAGAAAGCAGAAGAATCTGATCTCTTTGTATTAGTTTGAAGTCCAATACGTACCCAATCCAATTCATTCATCCATATTCAAAAACAAACATTACAAAAGAAGCTTCAAAATGTCAACTTGAAATGCTGCTTAAAGGAACACATTTGTCATAACTGCATTTGACTGCAATGATGTCCTTCAACAATTTCAAACCCTAACAAGGAAATTAAACAAAAATGCTCTTCGCCATAACTTCTTATAGAATACCAAGTGCAATATTTGAATATATAGAATGGTAATTTATCAGGTTAGAAAAAATTAATAAACACAAACCTTATCCTTATCGAGAGGAACCACAATCTCTTCAAGTGAACGAACATCCCTAACATCGAAGTTTTGAAGCAGAGCGATACTTGAAATGGCAGACATAGGCTTCACTTCCATATCATCCGTTATCATGTAAGTCACAGCCTCTCTCACAAACCCACCTCCCTTGCCGCTGGTTGCAATTGCCAGCCGAGCAACATAAGTCGTGGGTTTGGAAATGAAGTTATGGCACTTTGGACAAATGGCCTTAGGGTCATCAGCCACATAGCATACCTCCCCAGAGTAGGAGTAGCTTGACGGCTAACATGACCGACACGTATACAACTTTTTACCTTTTGATTCACCGTCAGTCAAGCAGGAAGAAGTTGATGGGCACCACCAATTGGCATTGGCAGCTTCTTAGGTTTTAGAAGGACATCCTTGTTGAGGTTGGGTTGCAAGTATGTGTCATTTAAGTTTTCTAAGCTGCCTTAGAGTTTGCCAAAACAACAGATCATGCGTTTTCTAGAGAGGAGCCCAATCACAATGCTGACAGGTAGAGACAGAAGGGTGAAGAGAAAGTCAACAAAATCCTTGCCAGCTTCGGCGAAGAGAACTTTTTATGTTTTTTGTCGATGAGGAGCTTCAAACTAACTGGAGAAGCAGAGATTGAACGGTTTGCAATAAAATTCTTCCGCCCCCTCCCTATACATGAATTGGAGATGAAATGGGGCCAAATTTTGAGATTTTTTTTGGGTTTAGCCCCAAGGTTGGAGAAGGCCTTACAAAAGGTGCAAAGCAACCGCATATATACATAGAGATAGCCATAGAAAGAGAGATTTTTTTAGTTGGTAACTAAGTAAAGAATTATAAATGTAGAACTGTTTGGCATTGGAGTTAGAGTAATGCTACACTTACCACATTTTTATCCCACATTTCTATACCACATGATGTGGCATGTCCATATTATATGCCACATCAATTAAATCAATTAAGTGTATTTTAATTAAGACAATTAGAAAAACAAATACTGGAATAAATCATAAAAGAAAAGAAAATATTAAATAATTTTAATTGATATGGCTGTCCACCTCAGCTGCCACATAAGATGGTATAAGGATGTGGTATACAATGTGATAAGAGTAGCATTATTATTATTGGTCAGCAAATGATGACTTGGGTTTGAGCAACGTGTCCTTGCCAAGATTGGGCTGCAAATCTTATAAAGTTGGCCTAAGCAGCCAACCATGCTGTTCTTGGAGAGGAGCCTAATGATGGTGCCAACATGCAGAGACAGAATAGTTAAGAAACAATCAACAATTTCTTTGCTCACTTCAGCAAACAAAACTTTGTGGCTTTTTGTGTCTATTAGGAGCTTCAACCTCACACTAGGGTTGGAGGTTGCTGCCATATTGAACTAGTGATGAAGAAGACATAGCTTATTGTCTACAGCATATGCCAATATTTGTTTCGTATTGCATAGATTCATAATTGAAGCACTCAGACATTGCCTTTATTGCAGTGAACCTCAACATTTGTATCATGGTACAGGGATTGTGCCAATGAAACTCAACATTGGAACTTGGTCTTCATCAACATGCATCTAGAGCTTGATCTCTATTTCTCTCACCCTTTTAGGACTTTAGGGAGCCACTTAGCAGACTCTTTGGGAATGCGCTTGAGATTGTTTCTGTAATCGATGTAGTAAAGTCCGAATCGTAAGGTATAGACATATCTTGAGGCTTCTTTGGAGCTAAAGGATCATTGCGGTAGCAGATTGGCTTCATTAGACTTGCAGGGTTGTTTTTACCATATCTTGAGGTGTAATAGTTGATGCCAACAAAATCAAAGGAATCCTTCAACAATCTCCTTTCTTCCTTGGTGAAAATGGGCAGCCTTTCCTTGACCAAATGTACTCATGCTCTTTGGATAATCTCCATATACCAATGGCTCTGTGTACCATCCAAGTTCAAAGTCCAAATTTCTCTTTACTGCAGCTCTGTCTTCTGTTGATTCTGAGTAAGGCTCCACATATTCTCCTATAAGACTAATTCCAATTTGTCCACCTTGTTTCTCTGTAAAGCTCAACAACAGTGGCATGGGCTAGGACTCCTAGGAGAGAGCTATGGCTCACAATGTAAGGTTCAGTGACTGAATTTCCTTCCCTGCATGGAAACCCTGCTGGAACAGAAAGCCTTCCCAGCGCATAAATTCCAAGGTCATATCCCAATTTGACAATGATCAACGGCTTGTTGTTTGCGATCCAATTTTTTACCCTGTCTCCAAATGTTCTAAAACAGATTTCAGTGTAAGCCTTGAAATCATCCACAAAGGAACTTCAATGGGCTGAAAAGGATATGGTGTTAACTGCCCACAAAGGAACACATTGGTGAGAACTGCATTGGATTCCAATGATGCCTTCAGCAATTTCAGACCCTAAGAATTCATGAAAAGAAAATCATCATTTTGAATAAGATAAAAATACCTCCAAACAAAACAAAAACAAAAAGAACGCAAACCTCATCCATGCCTAGATGAACGATCCTCTCTTCAAGGGTACCAACTTCCTTAACATTGAACTTGCTCAGCATCACGATATGGTAGACATAGGCTATAAGAACTCACTTCAATTTCTGATGGCCTCTATAAGAAAACTGGTGTTTGATTATGTGTTTTGCATCCTGAAAACACAAAGATGTGACCGAAAAGTTATTGCTAGAGAGAGCAATAGAGATTTTAGCCTGTAAAAGTAGTATGTAATTTATAAAAGCTTTTTGTATTTGTTTTGTATTTTGGTTTTTACCTATAATGACAATTTTTTTAATTAATGCCTGAATTTTCTGGTGGATATATATTGTCAGATAGGAAAGCTGATGAAGGGGCTTAATCCAATGTCCTTTGGAGTCCTTGTGTTTGTGTCTCCTTATCTGTGACAACAGCTTTCAAAACTGGAGTCATAGCTCTCGCTGTAAGTAATTAACATAGTCTTTAATTACTGATGTTGGTTAGGCCTGTTGATCACGAGAAAGAACATGTTGTATTGCAAACCATTCTTAATTATAACAATTAATGGATTGTGGGTTTTCCTAATTGCTATGTGCAGGAAGGAATAGCAGTAGGGACAGGGAGAAGCTTTTCCATGTTCAAGAATTACCACATTGATGGGAACAAAGAAATGATTGCCATTGGGATGATGAACATTGCTGGTTCTTGCACTTCTTGCCACCTCACCACAGGTTAATCACTAATCGTACACATTTAGGGTTTATTCTTAATTAGATTCATTTCATGTTGCTAATTAAGCGAAATTTTTTCATCAATATTCAAGGCCATTTTCCAGATCAGCAGTTAACTACAATGCAGGATGCAAGATGGCAATGTCAAACGTTGTCATGGCAATTGCGGTTATGTTCACATTGTTGTTCCTCACTCCTCTGTTCCATTACACTCCCCTGGTTGTTCTGTCTGCTATTATAATAGCTGCCATGCTTGGCCTCATAGACTATGAAGCCGCAATTCTCCTCTCGAAGGTTGGCACGTTTGACTTTGTTGTCTGCATGAGTGCCTGTATCGGTGTCGTTTTTGGCAGCGTTGAAATCGGCCTAGTCTTAGTGGTACGTACCACTATATGTCACACCAGTAAAAAGTTATTGTGTGTGACAATAACACCATATCAACAACTTAACATTACTTATTAGAACTAATATTTCTTTTTTCTTGTGTGTAGGTTGCAATATCTACTTTCGTTTGTGGCAGTTTTGTTCAAGGAAACCTTCCGAATTCCATATATGTTTACAGAAATGTTGAGCAGTATCCCAATGCAAGCAATGTTCCTGGAATTCTCATACTTGAGATTGATGCTCCCATTTACTTTGCAAATACCAACTACTTAAGAGAAAGGTACTAATTAATTAAACCTGAACACACTCTTGCATGTTATAATCAAATTTAAAATAATAATTTGAAAGTTGATCCAAAGTCCTACCTGTTTTCAGGATTACAAGGTGGATAAATGATGAGGAAGATGGGACCAAATCTGCAGGGGAAAGTAGCTTGCAATATGTGATATTGGATATGACTGGTAATTAAGGGAAACAAATAGTGCACATATATATATATATAATTATTGTGACATTTTTTACCCTGAAATTAATTTGTTTTCTGGTTTAATTTGGAGCTGTTGGTAACATAGACACAAGTGGGATAAGCATGTTTGAAGTGGTCAAAAAGCTTGTTGACAGAAGGGGGCTCCAGGTTCAAAAATCTGCAACAGTCTCTTTCAATTTATCAAATATTTCCTTCCAAATTTTTATTTCATCTGTTTATATAACTCTGTAATTTTGTTCCCATCTGTGTTTAGCTTGTACTGGCGAAACCCGGGAAGCGAGGTGATGAAGAAGATGAACAAGTCAGAGTTGATTGAGAATACATGTCAAGAATGGATTTATCTCACAGTTGCAGAGGCTGTTGCAGCATGCAACCTCATGCTTCACTCCACCAAGCCCAACCCCGGCAAAGATCAAGAACCAGCTGCATGGAACAACGTTGATGGCTTTGGCTGTGAATTTATGTATCAGAAAGCAATATCCACATAAATATGAAGACTCATTTGAATTAAGGAGAAATGAATTTCAGGAAACGACGTTTGATGGCTTTGGCGGCTATACTATTAATTTCAGGGAAAAAAATTTTAAAAAAATAAAGGAGTATAGCCGTTCAGCTATACTCTTTTAATATATTATATTTAAGCTCTATAGACGATCGGCTATACTATTTACTTAGAAAAAAATTTAAAAACAGCGTATAGCCATTCGGCTATACTATTAATTTCAAAAACACCGAGTATAGCCGGTTGGCCGTACTCTTAAAAATGTTATATTCAAACAGTATAGCCGCGCGGCTATACTATTTATTTAAAAAAGAGAAAAATAGTACAGCCGTTCGGCGATACTATTAATTAAAAACGGAGTATAGCCGTGCGGCTATACGATTAATTTAGGGAAAAAATTAAAAAGGGGTATAGCCGTATGGCTATACTCTTTTTATATATTTTATTTCAAGAGTACAGCCGCCCGGCTATACACTGTGTCTTTTTTCAAATTTTTAGTCCAATTAATAGTATAGCAAAAATGAAGAACACGATACATTCAACAGCAAAAGAGTAATACACGAGTCTCAAAAACATCTTGGAGTCACAAGCTCCAAAGTTCTAGCAAAAGTCAGTTCAGCTACCTTAACAGAAGAAACAATCCTCTGAAGGAGCATGGTGAAGTCGATTTCATCAATTTACAACTGACTGATTACCACAAAAAACCTCCAAAATAACAGTGGAAGACACTCTTTATGAATCCCTAGTCCGAACTCAGACGCACAACAGTCAAACAAGCTCTAAAATTCCATTTCCAGAATTGATCAAGTGCAAAGTTGACATGTTTACTCCTCTTTCTTCTCAAGGAAGACATTGGTGAGAACTGCGTTAGACTCCAATGATGCCTTGAGCAATTTCAGACCCTAAAAATTAATAATGAAAAGAGAAAATGATCATTTTGAACAAAACATAAAATTCCTCCAACCAAAACAAAAAAACAAAAGAATATAATAGCAGATGAACTGTGGCAAATTAGCTTTGATTAAAAGCCTACATGATAATGTATGATGGTTGTATCGTCTATGATCGAGTGCGTAGAGTAGAAATCAAAGCATAAAAAGTGTATCTATCCTATCCTTCCCAACTTGAATCAATTAAGAAAAGAATAAAAAGTGGGGTTTGTAATTGAGGTGCATATATATTTTGCATATTCAAGATGCACATATATTCACAGTTCAAAATGTTGAGAGAAGAAGTTTAGGAATGCACACATCATCCATGCCTAGAAGAACCATCCTCTCTTCAAGGGTACCAACCTCCTTAACATTGAACCTGTTCAACATAGCTATACACGATATGGTAGACATAGGCTTCACTTCCAAATTATCCATTATCATGTATGTAACAACATCTTTCACATACCCTCCTCCCACCACCAGACGATCCTTCCGTGATAGCCTGTGCTGCAACATAAGGCACCTCGGTAGAGAGAGTATATTTGCACTGTGGGCAAATGGCTCTAGGATCGTCAGCTATAAAGCGGGGGTAGCTCCCACACATGTACACCTTTTTAGCCAATGATTCATCATTGGTCAACAGATGAGGAACATTAGCACCACCAATTGGTGCCTCGGTTTCAGCAATGTGTCCCTGTTGAGATTAGGTAACATATACGTGTCATTAAGAAGTTCAAGACTATCATAAAGCTTGCCTAAGCTGCTCATGTTATCCTTAGAGAGGAGCCTAATCACAGTTCCAACAGGTAAAGCCAGCAGCGTGAAAACGAAATCCACAAAGTCCTTGCCTGCTTCAGCAAACAGAACCTTGTGGCCCTTTGTGTCAATCAAGAGCTTCAAGCTTACAGTGTTGGTTGCCATTGATGCAGTTACAAGGGGAATTGGGACCAACAGGCCTTATAAAGAAATTAGGGAACTGTAATAAAATAAGTGAGTAAATAAGCATAGCCATTGCTACAACCCAACCCAGAACGCACACGCCTAAACAAAGTAGGTTAAAGGAGGCACCTTTAGGCTTTAGCAGGAAAAAACAGCAATTATATTATATTTATATATAATAAAACTAAAGAAAAAAGTATCAAAAACTAATAATCATAAATACATATTCCCCCTTTTTCTATTTAGAAACTGGAAAATTTAACTCAAAATACATTCTTCTAAATACTTTGCATGGACCTTCAACACAAAAATAAATAAAAAATAAGAAGAAATATGTGCTCTGTTTTTATTAACTGCCCTTGCGTCCTTTTCTGGACCTTAATTTTGGGCTTGACTGTGGACAAGGGATTCCATAGCTCTCAGAAATACGGTTACTGCACATCACACAAATGTAGAACAATTTAGAAAGATTCTAGTCTATGGTCGGCAATGGCAATTGAAGGATATTGGCCGCAGAAATTGTTGGGTTGGGTTTGAGCAGGGTGTCCTTAAGATTGAGTGGCAAAGTATGAGTTGACACTAAGGCTTTCGGCACTCTGGAAACGTTGCCTAAGTAACCCGCCATACCATCCGTTGAGAGGAGCTAGTAACAGTTGCAACATGCAAAGACAGAAAACTAAAAAAAGGAATCACTCGTTGCTGCACGCAACAATACTGCTTATTTCAACCAGAAGCTTCAACTCAGCATAGGCGCTGAGTCGTAGCCAGAGCGGAGGACAACGCCGCAATTTATCACTAAATTCAGATAGGGGTTCAAACAGCAAGGGGCGCCGCCTAGCGGCCCTAGGCGGCCTAGGCGGCTCTAGGCGGCCCTAGGCGGCTCTAGGCGGGTCTGGGCCGCGGCGTTTTGCCGTGTGAGGCGTGGACGAAGGGCGGCTGAAGCGCGCAGATCCGTTTTGTTAGGAAAGACGGAGAGAGAGAGAGAGAGAGAGAGAGAGACAGGAGAGGAGAGGAGAGGGCGGGACGGCTTGGGAATATCTGACTAATTTTTAAGATAACTAATGGGTGTGGGGTTTTGTAAAATGTCCTTAAACATTGGTATTTTTTTTTTATTTTTTTTTTTTTTTTTTTTTTTTTTTTCCTTTTTTACTCAGAAGCTTCAAACTCACGCTAGCGTGAGTATGGATCAAGAAGCTTTTATAAGCTTGCAAACTGCCACTTTAGAAACAAAACTACATTTGATGTGTTTAGAAATGAAGTAAGAATTTGTGTGACATGACAAGGGTTTGAGTTGCAAGGTGTCCGTGTTAGTTAACCATGGTTTCATGCAAATGTTAACCACCAATATGCAAAGACAGAAGAGTGAAAAGAAAATCAACGACTTATTTGCTTGCTTGTAACTCTTTGTGCAAAAAGGACAGAGAACTGCCCAACTGGACAAAAAAAAACACAGAGAACTGTTTATAAAAGTTGGTCTTTTTAAAAAAAAAAAAAAAAAAAAAAAAAAAAAAAAAAAAAAAAAAAAAAAAAAAAAAAAAAAAAAAAAAAAAAAAAAAAAAAAAAAAAAAAAAAAAAAAAAAAAAAAAAAAAAAAAAAAAAAAAAAAAAAAAAAAAAAAAAAAAAAAAAAAAAAAAAAAAAAAAAAAAAAAAAAAAAAAAAAAAAAAAAAAAAAAAAAAAAAAAAAAAAAAAAAAAAAAAAAAAAAAAAAAAAAAAAAAAAAAAAAAAAAAAAAAAAAAAAAAAAAAAAAAAAAAAAAAAAAAAAAAAAAAAAAAAAAAAAAAAAAAAAAAAAAAAAAAAAAAAAAAAAAAAAAAAAAAAAAAAAAAAAAAAAAAAAAAAAAAAAAAAAAAAAAAAAAAAAAAAAAAAAAAATCTAAGCTAATTTCCATCCAACTGATGAACGTAATCACTTACATTTTGTTTTTTTGGGTAAGAAAGAACCCCTTACAACCAAAGAAACTAAAAGAACCCTTAACAAACCAAAGAAACTAGGCAACACTAATCATACGATGTTTAGACAACCCCAACAGTTCATCGGCCAACACCGAGCCAAGCCAACCAGGAGACGCATACACAGGTCCAGAATCCAGATTATGACTCCAAGTAGCAAAACTGTCAATATTCTTCTCCCTATAAATATGATAAGTCTCATAGCTCTCAAACTTGTTTAGGATCTCCAAGCAGCTGGAAACCAACGCAGCAAGAGGATGGAGGCAATGAAGTTCACGGTATCTATGAAAGAGCATAGCCGAGCGGCTTTACCGGGGCCCTTTTTCTTTCAATTATTTTTTATAAACAGTAGCGCCGCGCAGCTATACGTTTAAAGAAATTCTATTCATAGAGTAGAGCCGCGCGACTATACTGATGCAATATTATATTTATAGAGTATAGCCGCACGGCTATAATCTTCTCACAATAACACGATCTAGTGGGACCCTTTTTTCCCCTAAAGGGCTATACGCTTTGCAAAATAACACGCTCATGTTAGGCGGTTAACGTTTTTTCTCTAAATAGTATAGCCGCCTGGCTATACGTCGAATTATTTTTTTATAAAAAAGAGTATAGCCGCTCGGCTTGACGGGGGTCTTTTTTTGAAATTTTTTTTTAGGCTATACTCTTTACTGTTTAAATAAAAATTGACTGACCATAAATAAAAATTAAAAATTTTGACCCAAAAACATACACATACAAAAGTCAGTATGGAAGTAAACGCAGGAGAAGTCAGGAATGGAAATCATATTCCCTTTCTTTCCATATCCATTACTGATACGTAAACATGCCCTAAGGGTAATAGAAAAGTAGGAACCTTAATCATACAATTTACCAGTAGAACAGGACCAGCAACTGACGTTTAGTGGCAGAGGAAATTTGCTACTATAATTGTGAATCACACATAGAAACCCACAAATCTCTCCATTAAAGAACCAAGAAATCAGAGGAAATTTGCTTGGAAAGAGCATGACATTTTGAGCAAATGTAAATTCTGCGATTTGTCGATCTGTCTGTACTTTCCGTGTTTCTACGTAGTGGCAGCAATTGTAATTACATTAAAATTTGTGGACATACTGTTTGCTTAGGTGGCTAAACACTTGGTCTTGTGGACTGGAATTAAGAGGTAACAACTCTTGTCCTGCATTCATTATATATTTGTAAAATTGGACCTATATACCTCCTCAAGCCCATACGGAAGACGTCCGGGAAGTTGATCACCACAAAATAGTGTAGCATCAGACTCACAAAGAACGCGTGACAATTGTGGGTTTGTCCTTAAGACGATCCCAGCCGAGCACTGGGTACAACTGAAGTGAAATCTGGTGTTTTTAATCCCCAAATACTCCTGTAAACAAGAAAGAAATAGAGAACACCAAAGCTTTCAGAAACTAGAGCGAGCGAGCATGAGCATCCAACATTAACAAAAATAAACAAACCCTAGAACTAGAAGAAAGAGAAAGCAAGAACGAGATACGAACTGGGCAATTAAAGCTTCAAAACCCAAACGAGATTATTATAACAACCCAAGTACGTACCAAGTTGCCGGAGGATTTTTCTTTGCGGGAATTGATCTTGGTGTCTTTGGCCATGGTATTCCTACACTTGTTGCACCGAATGTTCCTAGGAAGGTTCAAAACAACATTCTCAATCTGCAAGTTCTTAGGCTGGGCTGCCAATGCCATCACAACTATTGGGTGTGTATGATGAATTCCGATATGAGGAGAGAAGGGAAGAGGTTTAAGAGTCCGGAAGGTAATTTGAGTTGCAGCAAGGTGTCACGTGTTTTAAATATAGCCAGTTTGATCGTTTATGTTATTTTTGGGATATTTGTTGAAATGTCACATGAACTTATACCTTAGTTTCAATTTGTCACCTGAAAAAATAATTTAAGTGAAATGTCACCTGAAATTTTCAAAATCCATGATTTGTCACCTGAGTTTAACATCATCTGATTTTCCATCTATTTTCAAGGGTATTTTAGTCTTTTCATTTTCAAGGATATTTTTAAAATGGAAAAAATTATTATTAAAAAAATAAAGCTTAAATGTAAAAATGGATGGGGATTAAATGTGAAAAGATATATAATTTTTATAATTTTCAAGGGTCTTTTCATAATTTTTTTATAATGATTTTTCCATTTTAAAATACTCTTGAAAATAAAAAGACTAAAATACCCTTGAAAATAGTTGGAAAATTGGATGATGTTAAAGTGAGGTGACAAATCATGGATTTTGAAAAATTCAGGTGACATTTCACTTAAATTTTTTTTTCAGGTGACAAATGAAACTAAGGTATAAGTTCAGGTGACATTTCAATGAATATCCCTTTATTTTTTGCCAAAGTCAGAAAAGGATAGTAGGAGATTAAGCCTTAAATGAGATCCATCAAAATCTTACAAACAAGGAAAGGATTGTAGGAGATTAAGCATTATCATCAATAACATAATGGAGTATATATGGCTAAAAATAAGAGTAATAAATACATCATCTCAACGACAAGTCATGCAAATATCAGAGCCATCAATTTGGATCCCGATCCAACGTTTTTCTTAATTAAAATTTGATGAACCAATAAGATCCAAATTGGACCATTGAGGGGAGTGATCATTGCTAAATCTCGAGCTCAACTTGTTATTAAGAAAATGCTAGGGAAAATTATTTTGGTGGATTAGGGTTTATTCCATAACAAATAAAATGTCTCAGCTTCTAGCCTAGTAGAAAAAGATCTTAACTTGCAGACCACGGTCTCAAGTTCCAACGTCCATGGCATCTTAATTGTGTGCGACTATCTTTGTACTAAAAATAAGTCTATTTTAACTTTATTGTTTGGTTATGTGATAATTATTGAGGAGGTGAATTCGAACTTGAGTGCAAAAGGGCATGCACATCAGCCTCAGGCATGTACTGGTCAGTGTCACTAAGGTAATCATTGCTAAATCTCGAGCTCAGCTTGCGTACCTCTTGCGCCTCTTTTGGTTCTCTCCCGCGACATG